ATGTCATTATAGAGTTTTAAATTGTCCTGTTTAGTAGACAATTAAATTCAAGATATATTATATTGTCAATGTCATCTAGTATTCCTAATTGTAAAAGGTTTTTCTATTGATATTCACTTTATTAATATAAGGTAGGTTGCGTAAATAAAATATTAATGTGCTTTTAGCCTCCGTAATTAAAATTGTAGAATCAAGCACAGCAAACATTAACAGTTACCTTGTTTGAATTCATTCATCTTATACATATATTACATTAATTTTTCTGCTACATTAAGATTTCTCTATTCTTACACCTAATTTATGTGATTTTCTTTAGCATATATGATTTATAAACCATATTTTTCCTAATGGAAGGATGAATGGGATATGCAAAATTAAGATATTTTATATGTACTATGCCAGACTAAGCATAATATAGTATTAAGATGAAGACATAACAAATATTATAAGATAGATCTTAATATAAATCCTACAAACTAAGTCTTAATTTAGTCTTGTATTTCTATTATTATTATTATTCTAAATGGTTTATATGCACAATCAAAGTCAACCACAATGCAATGAATTTCAAATTATTTCTTATTATTCCCTCAATGAAAAGCGTCTTCATGACTTATAAAACTAATAAGATCAAAACTCAACCTTCACCATATTGTCAAGATGTGGTATTATAGGAAACAAGAAATTACAGTAAGATTAAGAAAAGAATAACAAAGTACACGATATTAAATACTGTAATGTATTTTTTACGATACAAACCATCTCCCCTTCTAAAGAGAAAATAAGATAAACATAAAGCTTATTTTAGTCTTATCAACATCTTCGGTAAAAATCCAATTAACTTGATGTCTATGCTTGATATTTTAAGAAATTATGATACAAACATTAATTATAATCAAAGTATATTATATTAGTAAACATTATATAATAGGTAAAATTCATGGTAAAATGTTACCTCTATCTCCGATTGACGTTTATTGTTCTATAATAAAGACCTGTCATGGTGGTATTCTCTCTCACAACATCAATACATGCTATATGCAAAAAATCAAAATATTGTTGCCTGTAAATAACTAGAAATTAAATAACTTGAAAGAAATAAAATAATTCTAATGGGTTTGAAAAGGCCTCTAGGTTTATGTTATACATGTTGATTTTAGGCTATATTTCTAATGAATTTGGTTTATAATTAGAAAAATCCGTAAATGATAAATTTTACCCTAATGTAAACATATAAATAAATGTTATTATTATTACAATTTTATATGTTATAATACTTTCACGAGAAGCCAATCTTCATTATCCCTTCTTTACCTTAATTTTGATATCAAGATAAATCTGAAATTATAGGAATTTAGCATTATTATTGATTAACACGCAAAAAAAAATTTTCAACTGCAAATAATTCGAAAATATACTGCAATTTGGCAACATCGACGATGTGCGCTTGCGTAGTATCGATGATCAAAAGCAGCAAATATGGGCTTCAAGGTCAGCCACCGGATCCACACCTTTACCCTCGGTTTTTTCTTTCATTTTAGCCCATGGCCATCCTGTATATCGATTTTTATTAAAATCGGGCAACTTTGAAATTTTTTTGACAGCTGTCAAAAATTCGGGTCATGCCTTGCAAGAAAATGTATTGTCATCGGGACTGAACCTACACATAACCTACATGCCAAATTTTAATTTCCTACAATGAAAGGAAGTGCTTCTAAAGATTTGCCCCGAACATATAATACATACAAAGCAAGTTAAATAAAAGGGATAAAAGCTTGTAAAATAAGCTAGGGACTGCTTTCCATTGGTAGAGATACCTCTTACCATAACAACATTAGACACCCGAGCTGGTTTAAACTCTCTGTTCCCCTTCTGGTCCTCAAAACCTACAATATTATCACGACCACTATTATAAAATAAATTGCACTTGATGATATTATTATATTATGATGAATATTAACAAAATTTGCTATGTCCATTGATGGACATAATTTGTCACAATAGCCTCTTTAGATTGTTCAATAGATATTTTATTGGGTATTTCTTTAATTCTTGTTTGTAACTCCTGGCATGTTTTTTTAATTTTAATTGTCTATTCTCTACAGTTAAATGGTTAATTGATTTTTTCATTGTTACTTTTCGAGGAGTATGCGCGGTTAACGATTCATTTGGTTAGATAACAGTATTGGGTAAATAAAATTCAGTTTCAGTAAATTCCAGTATTTTTTTTAATACGACCCTGTCTATCAATAGTTTATTTTCTGGGAAATTTTTTGATACGTTTTAATCCGGCCCTGACTCGGCACCCATAATGGTGTTTTCAAGGTCAAATTTTATAAAAATTTAAAACAATGGGATCGGGCAGAGTTAGCCTGCCGTGTGATTTATGGTGGGTTCATACAGCCAAATAAAATAAAATAAGAATAAAATAAAATAAAATAAGAAAGTTGGTTATATGGGATACCGTACATGCGTTCATACAGCCAAATAAAATAACAAATAAAATAAGAAGTCTTTAATCTTTTAACTTCTTGTTTTATTTTATGTGAAAACGGCTTTGCGCACGCTTAATTCTAACCTACAAATATTTTCAGTTTGGATTTAATTTATTTTATAATTTCACATAAGTAAAATGTATAATATAGTAGGCAACGAATAAATAAATATACTATAAATAGTAAAATTACTATAAACAATCGTAAAAGTTAACTTTATCCAACCTCATCGTACTGCGCATGAGCAAATATATATTTCTTATTTTATTTTATTTGACTGTATGAACACAAAATAAGAATTCCCTTATTTCTTATTTTGGTAAAGGTGTTGGATCCGGTGGCTGACCTTGAAATCTAGCATTTTATCTGCATTTGATCATCGATACCTACGCAAGCGCACATCGTCGATGTTGCCAAATTGCAGTTTATTTTCTAATTATTTGCAGTTGAAAAAATTTTTTTGAGTGTTAATCAATAATAATACAAATTCTATAATTCATTTTATAACTTCAGTTTATCTTGATATCCAAAATTAAGATAAGAAGGATAATGAAGATTGTGAAATGAAAGTATTATGAATATATAAAGGTGATAATAATAACATTTATTTATATATTTACATTAGAATTAAAATTATTATAAATTTGGATTTTTCCTTAATGGTTTTAAACTTATTAGAATTATTTTATTTCTTTCAAGTTATTTAATTTCTAGTTATTTACAAAGAACAATAGTTTTGATTATATGTAGTTGATGATTTGAAATACTACCATGAGAGACGAGTCTTATATACATAGAACAAGTACACATCAATGAGAGATAGAGGTAACATCTTACCTATAATGTTACTAATATACTTTGATTTATAATATTTGTGTGCAAGTAATTTCTTAAAATATCAAGAGTTATTAGTGGATTAAGAGCAATTTTAGACATATATTTTTATCGAAGAAGTGTGTTGATAAAGACTAAAATAAGCTTTATGTTTTATCTTTTTCTTTTAGAAGGGGAGATGGTTTGTGTCAGAATACATTACAGTTATTTAATATCAATACTAATGATATTTCCTTAATTTACTGCAATTTCTTTTCCTATAATGTTAAATCTTGATACAATATGGTGAAGGTTGAGTTTTGATCTTATTAGTTTTATCTAGTTTTATCAAAGAATATCTTAAATTATAAATGCGTGAAACTATAATATTCTTTTGGTTTTATACCTATGCTTTATACAGAATAAATTAATAGATTAGTTTGTAATTAGTTTGTGATTTATTAAGATCTTCTTATAATACCGTATGATCGAAGAATAAAAACGGCGTCGGCGATGGCTATGAAATGAAGATCGCTGTCATTTTATATGTAGAATTATATGGGAATCGTCGATCGTCATTTCAAAAGCCAACTGGACGCCGTTTTCATTCGATCATTTGAGAAATTCGTTATCATCTTAATCTTAAATACTATATTATGCTTTATTAGAAAATAAATGTTAAAATATCTTAATTTTGCATATCCCTATCCCATCCTTCCATTAGGGAAAAAAAATATGGTTTATAAATCATATTATGCTAAGAAATCTATCACATAAATTAGGTGTAGAGAATAGCAGAAGGTAGCAGAAAAACAATGCAATATATGTATAAGCAGAATTAAACATGTTAACTGTAAATGTTGCTCAAGCTGATTCTACAATTTTAATTACGGAGGCTAAAAGGCCTTTAAAGACCTCCATAGTTTTGATGTAATGTTAAAAACCTATTATGAACACTGACATGGAGCTTTTCAGCATTTACAAAATTAAAAAAGAAAACTTGGACACATCCCTTTTATTTCTCTGAATTTTTAATAAAGCACTTTTAAACGTATAGCATAATAATCTAGAACAATTAGATTAATTATGGGAATCTAGAATTTTATTTCTATTTAATTTTATTGACTATGAAAATACATAATAAGCGTTCACGTTTCACGTGTTGATGCGAAATATTAAAATAATAAATATAAATAATATACCGCGTACTATGATATACGTATATGAAAAATAGGCGTCAGCGATGACTATGAAATGAAGATCGCTGTCATTTTATATGGGAAATGTCCTCAATCGTCGTTTTTCCAGCCATCAACTGGACGCCGATTTTTCGATCATACTGTATATATTGACAAAAAAACACTGAAAATCACATATTTGTTTTCTACTGAAAATAATTCCAAAATAACTTGCAATCTGGCAACATCGAAGATGTGCGCATGCGTAGTGTCTGTGACTATATGCAGCAAAAACTCGTTTCAAGGTCAGCCACCGGATCCACACCATTACCCTTATTTTATTTTATTCTTATTTTATTTTATTTGGCTGTATGAACCCACCATTATATGCCGTGGTCCTTGCGCGATAGGTGTCTCCATGGCGCGTAACAGTTCTGGAGCTTTATGACTCAATTGAATGGAGTGAGAGTATGGCGTTCTTGAACAGCTACTCAACTGCGTGAAAGGAGGACAGCCATAAAATAATTAACTAGAAGGACAGCCACCACCAAATCACCACAACAGCCACTGATGACTGAACTGACTGAAGCTGGTTTTCTCTCTCTCTCTATATATATCTCTGTGATAAAAGCACATGTTTTGGTTGTGTTGTGTTCAAATCTGTGGTCCAAATTTTCTAACCCAACAATATTATTTTTTTAGCACCTTTTTAGAAATCTTATAGAAGGTTCATGAAAAATACGTTATTTTAATGGTTTTAATTGATAAATTAACTGAAATGGATTCATGGGACGAGGTAAAATTATAACCCTTCAATATATTTAACAATAAAAATTATTAAGTATTGTTTAATTTTAAGGATTCAGATGAAAATGATTTATCTATTGAAGAACCGGATACTACTGGTAAAAGTATCGTGAAATTATCAACACCTAAGCAAAGTAAAAGGAAAAATAGTGACTCAAATAATACAAAGCTTAAGAAAGTCAAGTATGAAAGCATATCCCAAGATATTCCAAAAAAGAACAAGAACAAAGATGATATGTACAAACCTCCTACAGTTGAAGAGCTTAATAATTTAAAAGAAACTGAAAACTTGTACAATAACAATTTATTTAGGCTTCAGATTGCAGAACTAGTAAAGGAAATATCAATAAAGAGTAAGAGAAGAAAATCTCTAAATTCTTGGTTAAGAACAGTGAATGAGGAACTAGAAAACTTGCCAGAATTTAAAGAATTATCACTGTCTGATATCAAACCTTCAAAGAAGAAATCAAGTAAAAGAGATATTTTTATAAACAATATAGCTTCCAAATATAGCTGTAATATAAAAACAGATCAAAATTTAGTACTAAAGTTCAGTAAGCCTACTAATATCCAGAGTTTTGGTTTAAAAGAGTGCAATTCTTATCCAGGCCCTAATATAGAAGCTTCCATTAATATTAAGATGCCCAAGTTGTATCTCAATGTGAAAGATTTTCTAAATAACAGATATCTTGTAAAAAGGTTTTACTATTTGATTTATTTAGCTGAGCATATTACAGGAGTTAGAAAACAGTTATGTTATCATGAAAATAATATCTTGTTACCTGTATTAGAAATGCAGCCTACAAAAGATGAAAAATTGAAAGTCAAAATTTATGTTACACCTCCCGAAGGATATTTCAAGCCATCTAGATTTTTACCAAATATGAACAATGTAAGAATCAATTTATTTGATAAGAGCAGAATAGAAGATATTACGGTGCTAAAAAATACACCAACAATTTTGTATAATAGTGCTATAGCACATGACGTAACTTTATCAACATACAGTGAATTTGTTAAAACAGTGTTACATGAACATTATAATGTACAAGAAGGTATAAAACTTTTGTGTGTATGGTTGAAACAGAGGGAACTAAATATTGGTTATGGAGCCTTTACAGAAAATTTAGTGTTGTATATAATCATTTATTTGCTTGTAAAGAAGAAACTTAACAAACTGATGAGTTCATATCAAGTCGTAAGGAATTTTTGGAGTTTTGTATCCTCAACAGATCTATCAAAAAATCCTCTAAGTCTTGGAAATTGTGATAAACAAACTCTTGAACTGTTTAAACAAAGTTTTAGTATTGTTTTCCTAGACTGTACAGGTTCTTTCAATGCTGCTGCATTTTTAAATGAAGATATCATGAAAAAAGTATCTGCTGAATGTGAGATGGCATTAAAACATCTTGACAATCCTAGAACTGACTCCTTCCATTCCTTATTTTTAACAAAATTGTCTTTTAATTTACAATACGATGTGATAATTAAGTAAGTTAGTTTTTTTTAATTAAAAAGAACATTTCTTTATAAAACTGTTTTAGTATAACTGAATCGCTGCCGTTAAAAGAGTGTTTAATAATTGATGATTCAGACAGAGCAAAATATGTCGGCTATGGAACTCTACAGAATATAGGTTCATTAATAAAAGTAATTAAAAGAGGTTTGAATAAAAGGATTTTACACATTGTGCCTAGAATTGAGGTTCAACTTTCTGAAGAAAATACATATCCTATTAAAAAAGTTTTGTTGGGTATAAATTTAAACTCAGAAACAGCATTTAATTTTATAGAAAAAGGTCCTTCTTTGAGTGACCACTCTGAAGCAGAAAAATTTAGACAGTTTTGGGGATATCTGTTCAGTGATAGAAGGTAAAAATATATCAAGAAAATTAATAATGTATTTTCACACATTAATAAAACATGTTTTAGATTTCGGGATGGAAGTGCTCATGTAGCTGTATATTTTAAAACCAACACAATTAGAGCCAAAAGGAACATAATAAAACAAATTCTACAATTTCTTCTTACGGAAAAGTTACAGCTGAAATTTAGATTGTATTATAATGAGCTAGAAGATTTTTTAATAAATAAAAAAATTAAAGCACCATATCCTGTTGGCACTAATGAAGAAGGATGCTTAAAAGTGATTAATTTATCTGATGAATTGGGACAAAAAATCAGAGGTCTTCAAATGTCTTTGAGTATTACTGGTATATTAGGTCTTTCAGATACTTTTTGCTATTGTAATGTATATCCACCAATTGCTAGAGATAATGACTATAAATCTAAAAATTGTAAAGTGCAAGAGAATAGTATCATCTTTAACACAGAAAATGTTGATGAAATACCACAGTATGTTCAAGCCAATCAATTGGTTCTTTACTTAGGTATTATTTTAATCTATTATTAAATCTAAAAATATTTGCAGCTATATGTAGTCATATCTTTATTTTTAGAACATAGTTCAAAATGGCCTAACAATCTTGAGGGAGTAAGGCATATAAAAACCACATTCTTACTTGAGATATCGAAAAAGCTCAGTGAAATCTATAATATAAAATCAAGGGTGACTAAAAATCACTTAGATGTATTTTATGAAGGTCTCATATTCAGGTAGGATACTATTTTAGTTGTCTCTATAAATCCAACATTTTCAGCTTTATTTTTAAGGTATATTTTGTATGTTCCCAAAGAAGTAGCGCTAATGAAAAAAGCTACATCTGATTCTGGAGTTGTTAAATATGTTGAATCGCAAAACACACTAAATATTGAAAGAGATTTAAACATTTTACCTAAGATTATAGGTGCTCTAAAAGGGTAAAATGATATAATTTTTGTAATTAAATTTTGGATTTTTCTACTCATTTAATTATAGTTTGCAGCTTCAATTTCCAAGTTTCGGATCTGGTACAGCCCTAATAAAGAAATGGCTCAGGTGTCAACTAATAGACGAGTTCCACATATCAGATATAACTATAAATTTATTAAATGCATCATTGTTCTTGCATAACTCAACATATAGTGAATCTTGTACACCTCAAATTTCCTTTTTGAGGTTCTTGAAGTTTATATCTGAATTCCAGTGGGAGTTGCAGCCCTTAGTTGTAAATTTTAACGACGAATTATCAAGTATGGTATTTACAATTTATTTTGAAGTATTTTATTTTAGAAAAACAATTATTATTTTAGAGGAAGATTTGGCAGATTTGGAGTCAAAATTTCAACAGCACAGTGATACAATTCAACCTTTGTATATTATAACACCATATGATCAAGGAGCATCACTCTTTACCAAGGAATCACCTACAAGAGAGATTTTAATAAGAATTAGACAATTGGCAAATATTACACTGAATCTGATGAGTGAAAGTGTAATTGAACAAAAGTTTTTTGATCTGACGGGATTTTTTTCACCTAATATGGATGGATATAACCTAATAATTCATTTAAATCCCCAATTTAATTCGAGAAGGCATGAAAATACTAGTGATTTGAATGAACAACAAGTTATATTGGAGAAATATGTCAAAAGAGATATTGAAAACATTCCTTTTGTTGAATTTAGTCCTGTTGATGAATACTTGAAGGAACTAAGGGTAAGATATAATATATTTTAAAAGTTTCTTATATTATTCTTTTATATTATTCCAGAATAATTATAGAGGTATAGCCACATTTTTTCATAACATTTACGGTGGGAATTGCATAGGGGTACTGTGGAATCCACCAGCATTAGAAACAAAAGAATTTAAGGTTTTTTTTTTCAATTAAAAATAGTACTATTCAAACTAATAAACTTGGTTCTTTATTTTAAAGGTCAATTATGTCAATGGAAGGAAACTTGTAGATGACAAGTTGGTTTTAAACATTGAAGCAATCACTGAAGATTTATACATATTAGGAAAAGACCTTGTCAAGTGGATTGAAAGAACTAAATAGGGTGTATATATTATTCTGTACATACCAGTATAATTTTAATAATAAAAACAATAAAAGTCCCTTAAAAACTTGAACAAAATGAAGGACTTTGTGGGCAAAAGTAATATAATTTTGAGACTTGCCCTTTTAATAAATGTCTCTCGCTTAACAAAGAATTAAGGTGCTTCATTTTGTTGACTAACAAAGTGTATCACTTTTCAAATCACAACAGTCCTTGATTCATTACTTATGAGCTATGTTTTCTATCACTAATTTTTCCGTCTTGTACATCTGACTGATAAGTGTCTAAAACAAACAATTTGTTGAAGAAATATTAACACTGCAAACAATTCTTTACCTGTCTTTTAATAATTTCTAAATTTTTATGAGCTTCAGCTATTTTATTACGTAATATTTCTGTATCATTCACGTTCTTATTTTCTCTAAATCCATATTTCACTCTATCTATTGCATATAATCTAGAAAAAAATAGTTATTTATATTAACAGTATATCGTGCAGATTTTTATCAAGAAGTTATTTAAACAAATTGAAAATGAAACTTACCGAAAATTATAGGACGCGAACTTTTCCGACTCCCTTAAAAGAGATTTATATAGTTTTAAAACTTTACTTTTGGTCGACATATCGAAATTCAAATAGATTTTAACAAAAAGCCTTTGATACCTCGAAAAAATCATTGAGGTTAGAACATCTGCCAAAAAGTGAAATTTAATTTTCTTCTTTCATTCTTGATTCCTTTTTATTATTTTTAATTTTTTATTGAAGAAGAGAAGCTACTAGGACTCTGGCCCAGGGTTCGGAGAACTACATGTTACTTTTAAAAACTACATAAACTACATTACATGTAGTTTATGTAGAGGGTGTAGTTTATGTAACATATGTATGTAACTTTCAAATGTCAAAGCACGTCAAAGCACAAACGTCAAAGGTTTGAGGTTATAATAAGTTGAAGCTTGAGAAAACATATAATGTATTTAAGAAAACAGAAGAAATATGGCTTTAAATATAACCATTCACATCATATTATTTAGACTCCTCATACAAAGCAAAATTATTCATAATATCAATAGGTAGTTTATTAACTCCTTTTCATGTAGTTAATGAACGGGAAAAGATGTAGTTTGTGAAGAAAAACTACACGTAGTTAATCAGGTAAACTACGTCTTGGTAATGGTGTGGATCCGGTGGCTGACCTTGAAACGAGTTTTTGCTGCATATAGTCACAGACACTACGCATGCGCATATCTTCGATGTTGCCAGATTGCAAGTTATTTTGGAATTATTTTCAGTAGAAAACAAATATGAGTTTTTCTTTTTTCTTTATTTTTAAATGCTGTAGGCTGTAGCTCCATGTCATGTTCATAATAGGTTTTTTTTAACATTCCATCAAAACTACGGAGGCCTTAAAAGGCCTTTTAGCCCCGTAATTAAAATTGTAGAATCAGCTTCAGCGACATTTACAGTTATTACACTTTGTTTAATTCTGCTTACACATATATTGCATTAATTTTTCTGTTACCTTAAGATTTCTCTATTCTTACACCTAATTTATGTGCTTTTCTTAGCATAATATGATTTATAAACCATATTTTTCCTAATGGAAGGATGGAATAGGATATACAAAATTAAGATATTTTAACATTTATTTTCCAGACAAAGCATAATATAGTATTAAGATTAAGACATAACAAATATTATAAGAAAGATCTTTAATATAAATCACAAACTAATCTTAAGTTGGTCTTGTATAAACACAGGTATAAAACCTTTTATAAAAATAATAAGATCAAAACTCAACCTTCACCATATTGTCAAGGTTTGGCATTATAGGATACAAGAAATTACAGTAAATTAAGAAAAGAATATAAGTAATGTATTCTACGACACAAACCATCTCCCTTCTAACGAGAAAAAGATTAAACATAAAGCTTATTTTAGTCTTATCAACACACTCTTCGTAAAATTGCTATTAATCCACTAACTTGATATTTTTAAGAAATTATGATACAAACATTATAATCAAAGTATATTATATTAGTAACATTATAGGTAAAATGTTACCTCTATCAGAGCCTCTATATATCTCCTATTGACGTGTATTGTTGTATAAGACTCGTCATGGTAGTATTTCAAAACATATCAATACATATAATCCTTAATCAAAACTATTGTTGCCTGTAAATAACTAGAAATTAAATAACTTGAAAGAAATAAAATAATTCTAAGAAGTTTAAAACCATTAAGAAAAAATCCGTACATGATAATTTTTAATTCTAATGTAAATATATAAATAAATGTTATTACAATTTTATATATTTATAATACTTTCATTTCACAATGTTCATTATCCTTCTTACCTTAATTTTGGATATCAAGATAAATCTGAAATTATAAAATGAATTATAGAATTTGTATTATTATTGATTAACACCTTTGTTAACACTCAAAAAAATAAATTCAGCTGCAAATAATTCAAAAATAAACTGCAATTTGGCAACATCGACGATGTGCGCTTGCGTAGTATCGATGACCAAATGCAGCAAAAATGGGCTTTAAAGTCAGCCACCGGATCCACACCTTTACCCTACGTCTTAATTAACTACTTCCGAACCCTGCTCTGCTGGCCTGGGTAAAGGTGTAGATCATAGGTGTGGATCCGTAAGCTGACCTTGAAGCCCATATTTGCGGCATTTGATCATCGATACTACGCAAGCGCACATCGTCGATGTTGCCACATTGCAGTTTATTTTTGAATTATTTGCAGTTGAAAACAAATGTTTTTTTGAGCGTTAATCAGAATAATAATTATTGTAGGTATTTTCTATTTTTTTAAACTTTAACGTTCTGTATCTTTAAAACTATGCATTTCCGGATCCATGTTTATAGACACGCCAATGCTATATTTAAAGCCATATTTGGCCGTATTTCCTCTCTTTTTAAAGCATCAACTACCCATCTTTAACTTGTTATAACTCCAAACCTGCCCCAAATTTTTGATATTTGAAAGTTACATACACTACACCATACACTACACTATCTACGTTGATTAACTACATGTAATGTAGTTTATGTAGTTTTTAAGAGTAACACGTAGTTTTCCGAACCCTGACTATCATCCTTTGAAATTTGACCGTCCTTTTTCCAATACCCTGTATATTTGGCCTAACTGTAAAAAATGGACGAAATGCGGGGCGGAGTTCATAAAACGCGCATGCGCCATACACGCAGTCAGCTGTAAATTGCTGAAATGGACTGTGTTGAAAATTACAACAATTTTTAAACTTTTTCAAGCATATTCGTTGAATTCCAACTCGAAAAATGTTGTGATGTACCTCTAGACTGAATCGCGATCTTGTTTCGTCGATGTTTCTCCGTTAATTTCCGACCTCCCACCTTGCCTGATGTACGTGTTTTTTTTTATTTCTGGTATTGTGAAATCTAGACCCACTCGTATTTGTTTTGATTTTCAGGTAGATGCATAAACCTCTTTCATGATAAAGAGGTAGTTAACAATAGATAAAACACTTAACTAGAACGCTCAAATTCCTTCTTCACTGCCCATCACAGAACATGGCTACTATAATGTACCCAAGTCTTACAAAATCACAGTCAATGAGATCCAAGAGAAAATCAGCTGTGGAGCTGTTAGCTGAGAGCAAGCCATTCTATGTTAAGTCTGAGGTTGTGAGAGACAACACTCAGCAGTTACCTATAAGAAGCCATTCCAATTTTGGGGCTTATGGAACTTACCATCGTTGCAAGGGTGTTAATGTTACAAGTATAGTTCCAGGGAATAGCTATAATAAGCCTCCTACCAGTTTTCCTCAGTGTAAGTAAATTAAAATTATAGTGGATCGATAATTAAAAAATTGTTATTAGGTTCTTGGTCTTCCCAATTCTTTGATTTGTTTTTATAATTATTTTTTATTTAGATATGGCAGTATCTCCTTCGCGGTCTTTACCTCCTTTAACTCACAGAAGATCGGTTCACTCTCCAGCAGCTCCTCCTCATCCACCAAACTCAAATGATCTTCTTCAAAATCGCCTGCGTCAACTTCTGGTGTGCGATAGTGCAGAAGAACTCCGTGTAGATCAGGTAAGAAAAAATATAAATGTTACATTGAGGGGCTTTTATCATTTCATGTTTTAGATGGCTCCATTGAGTCCCCCAGCTGAATACTCATCACAGCGCTGTCATAAAAGCCTCCCAGACTTGCACTGTAGAGGGAGTAGTGGTAGTGGAGGTGCTGAACCTAGTTCTAATAAAAGCAGTAACAAAAGTTTGTCAAATAGAGACAGCGGGGGTTCTAGTGGACATTACACCCAAAGAAGCGAACCCGCGCCCCCTCCCAGACAAGTAAAACATAAATTAGTTATACTTTATAATTTTATTGTTTTATGTTTTTTTCTGCTCGTTTTAGTTTTGTTCGCCCGAAACTCGTCGCGACAGTGGTTCAAGCACCCAGCACAGTGGGGGAAGTTCGTACTATTGCTGTCAAGAACCAGAATGCAGGGCTTCACGTCAAATAGCATATCCTGCGCCCCCTATATCGGCTTTTAAGAGGCAGAAATGTCTGAGGTATAAACGCGATAGACCTATTTTAAGATCAAAGGTATATTTTTCTAAAAAAAAAAAAAAATCAATATTAGAATGTCTTCTTTTCTTAGTCTGATATTAGTGATCGTTACTGGAGACCTCCAGAACCTCCTACAAGCCATCTAGAGCAGTTTTTTGAGCATTTGGGACTGACTTCAGATAGCTATGAGGAGATGTTGAGTGGCAGTGGACATTCTTCAGACAGTCCAGTGTTTTTCTCTGACGTTTCGACGGTGGATTCGTCAAGACCGCTTGAAAGTATTGATTGCTGTCCTCAGCAAAGTTATAGGTGAGATTAATCTAAAAAAAAAATAGAAAAATAATTTTTTAGTATACGAAAGAAACTTTTCAGTGATCTTTTAATTTTTCAGTAATGCTTTATAAAAATTAACTTTCATTGGCATATTTTTAAAGAATAATTTTTAATTTAATGGATATAAAAAATACAAGGTGGCGCCTCTCATACGACGCGGAGACTCCAAGGAGAACGGTAGTTTATATCGAAATTAAATTTTGGGAGCATATGTAGGTTAATTGAAAGCATTTTATAAAATCATATAGAGTTTTACAGGATGTTTCCAAAAAAAGTTACGCGACAAAGTTGGGTTTTTTGTAATGGAATACCCTATATATTAATTGATTCTTGGATTCTATGAAAAAATAAGGGTAGTTTCATTAAAGAAGCTTATGCGTAAAATGTAAGGATTTTGACATATTTCACATTTTGTGAAAATGAAGAATAAAATTTAAATTTGAATAACAGCCACCTAAAATTTTAATTTACCATGTATATCATGATATTTAATTACAATAACCATTGTATGTTAAACCAAATTAACATTTGACCTGAAAAGTTATACAGGGTGAGACAAAATTAATATTGAACATTGGTCACTTTTAAAAGCAGGTTAATCCTCTATTTTAAATGCAATATCCAGTATAGTATTGCGGTATTCAATGGAGAATTCATATATCTTCAAAACACTATTAAGGTTGCTTACCCCTCAGACAAAGATTTTCCTAGATATTTTTAGTTTGGTTTAGTAGGTGCCTGTGATATATGTACCTTTTGTTAATTTAACAAAAATTAAAGGATTTAGAGTAAAATATTCAAAGGGAATAAAAAATACACGTTTAAAACATATTTTAATTATTACAGAATTAAAACTAGATATAAAAGTATAATTATGTGACAAAAATTAGCTAGATGAAATGATATGCTCAAAATGCTTCCTTTCCTGTTTGCTGCATAAAATTATTCTCTTTTCAAAAGATCTTTTCATGTTAAAAGTCATATGTGGAATTCTAGTTTGAAAAGCAGCCACAATCACTTCTCTTGTGTTGTCGACAATAGTTGGTTGATTGTCGACAATAGATGATTTTGTAAACACTTTTTTTAACATATCCCCATAAAAAAAGTCCAGACTAGATAAATGAGGAGCATTTAAGTATTCTATTAATTGGTGAATGCACATTTCAGTCACCAACTAATAGAATCATATCAATTCTCACTGATGTAATATATAAGTTTCCATTTTCGGCAAATTTATATTTTTTCTTTGTTTTAACTGACACAAAATGATAACTAGTTGGTAAAGTTGAACTAATTTGACAGCTCTGTTGAAGTAACGTCAGCCATATTACAGCCACCTATATTTTATCAAATAATAAAGATCTACTGACACTAAATCATAAAAATGAAAATATCTAGGAAAATCTTTGTTTGAGGGGTAGGCAACCTTAATAGTATATTGAAGAGGCATGAATCTTGACGAAGTGACACACTATCGTTTTCCTTGGAGCCTCCGCGTCGTATGAGAGGCGCCACCCTGTACATAATCTTGCTGGAAACCTCATTAAGAAAGATAAACAAATCCTGGAAATCATCCCGCGCTTTATAAACTTTTTACTATATAGTTTTTTATTAGGTACAAACTTTTTTGATTATAGATTAATATTAGACTTGTTTTTTTTATTATATTATAGTGTGACTGTTGTGCACTTATTTTGTCTAAGAAAATAATTTTTTTAGAAATAGTGAACCACCATCAATTGTTGAAAGGAACGCGAGAATAATAAAATGGTTGTGCAATTGTCGCAAGTCTCAGCTGACATAAAAATATTTCACAGTTTGAGCAGTTCGGAAAAAATATTTGGTGTGATCTTTGAAACTATGTAGGAGAAGCAGTGGAGTACAGATGGCTTTTTACAGGAATGATTAAATGAAATTTCAGGGTAGAATTGAAATTGTGACTCATAGCTCAAATAATATATGTGTCGTAGAATTAAAAATAGGTAATTTTTTCCAAAATATATGTACCGTAACCCTTGTTAGGTAAGAACAAACTTGATGTCAGATGTAAGTGTTTTTTATACAGGCTGGTCCGAAGTGTATTCCGGAAACTTCGACAGCGTATTCTGCAGATAATAACAAGTACAAAAGTTGGTATAAATGTATATCCTAAAATGCTTTTAGTTTCGGAGATACAGGGTGTAGAAATTTCATTTTTATTTCGATTTTTTCCAAATAATGTATGAAGTAACCTCAATATTTCGATGAAAATTGGTGTCTTGGAGTTTTTTGACGTGAGAAATTTGATTCTAATATTAATATGACTCTTATTTGTAGGGGGCGCCACCTACATGTGTTTTAACTGTTTTGAAGAGTAATAATTTTTCGTCCGTACCTGTATAAAACTACCGAGTAAAAAAATATACATTTATAATATACATTTACGTTTTTCGCTTAAAAAAAGGTCTCTTGGTAAAAATCGCTAATAAATAAAAAGTAATGGTTCTCGAGATATTTGGAATCTAAATTATCAATACATATCATCAATGACATAAATTAAACATGTTGATTAAATAGTTATTAGACTGAAATCATAAATTTGAAATGTTTTTGTGTCAAAAGTTCAACAGAAACTGTTTTATCATCATTTTTTCGCAGAGAAATTTATGATATTTCCCAAATTTATTATTTATTAAAAAAATTAATATTTCCCAAATTTATTATTTCAGTCAAATAGTTATCTACTCAACGTGTTTATTTTTTTGTCATGTATTGTGTTTGTGACATGTATTGACTATTTCCATTCTAAATAACTTGAGAACGGTTGCTTGTAGCGATTTTTACTAAGAGACTTTTTTTACGTAGAAAGTCACGAAAAACACCTCCGCGGTTTGGAGTCATCTTTTCGGGAATATTTTTCAGAAAGCTTTCAACGGAGATATTGTTTCAGATATTAAGGGCTTGACAACGGTACAGGAAAGTCAGTTAATAGAAATATCATGTGATTCAGCTTTAAAACAAAATTTCAAAGAAACTTCTTTATCAAATCTTTGGGTGAATTTTAAAAAAGTTTATAAAGAAATATCAGAAGAAGCACTGAAAAAGTTGCTTTTCTCTGCTCTTCTCATCCACGTTACTACAGTTTATCCACCTTACTCAGGTCGTTACTTCAGAATAAAAGTTCTACACCCTGTATCTCCGAAACTAAGCATTTTAGGACATACATTTATAGGGACTTTTTAACTTATTTTTATCTGCAGAATATACTGCCGAAGTTTCCGGAATACAGTTCGGACCACCCTGTATATCTACGTGTATAAACAGGATGGTCCAATTAAGGCAGATACAAATAAAAGGTCCATCCTGTATATTCCAATAGAGTTAAGTTTTCATTTTTTTATGTGTATAAAGAAATCATTCTTGTTATACTGCCATATTTTTCATTAAACAATTTTTTAGAATCTTTTATCCTCATTTTCATATAAAATTGCTTTATTTATTTATTATGTAAATATTAGGGTCTTCCAAAATGAAAATGAAATCAATTTCGGATACTTAGAGGAAAACTCAACTTTTCTATCTAGTCTTATGTCGAATATTTAAACAATTTTTTAAATCAAAATTTTTATTGAATATATATTCTATTTTATTGTTGAACGAAAAACAAGGTTGTTCATGGTTGTTTTTCTAGAGAGTTGTTATGTGGGTGAATTTGTTTTCTGTTTAATCATAAAAATAAGGCTCAAATACTTAAAATATTTCTATGTGTCACTGCTCAGTCGATGTGAAAATTAAATATATAAGAAAAAATATATTTTTTTCTTTTTTTCTTTTCTATTGTCTGTTAAAGTTGTAGTTGATTACAAAAGAAAATATGGTGCATTTTATTATTGGATATTATAATAATGTATATTTTATTTGATAATTATTTATCTAGGAACCTAGATACTAAGGAGGTATAGATTTTTTGTGATGTGTGATAATAGGACATAATAATTATTGAACATTATATTAAGGTATATACTATGGTCTTATTTTTTGAAACATACCGCCCCCGTTTTTTATTTTAATTTTTGCAATATTTTAAACGTATGTATTATTTTCTCTTTTGATATTCTAGATAGCCCTGTATTAGTAACGGGAGCTTGGGATGATTTTTAGAATCAAATACTTGTATTTGAATACTTTTGAGACTCGAACACATTTCAAATTTTTTGAATTTGAATTCCTTTTTTTTCGAATTTTGAATCTTCGAATATTTTTGAGAATTGTATATTTTCAAACCTTTTTGAATTCGCATTAATTTCGGGTCCTTTCAGTCCTTGAATATAGGCTTGGTACATTCTCCGCCGGTGCTGCCACCAGCGGAGAATACTGTGATCAGCGTACTAAACAAATACTCCGGTTTAAATAGCGAATACACGAAAAAAAATATATATAATTTTCTAAGTGTTAAAGTGTGTAATTTGTAAAATTACAACATTAAAAGTTATTCTAAAAATAAAAAGTAAATATTTTGATATCTTCAGGTCTAACTTATAGTATTATAATTTATTATTCAAGCTAATAAAACTCTTTAGATGAGTTCAGAGTTCAACTACGGTAGCGAGCATAGTATTACGCACCGATTTTCCTAGTGGAGACATAACTGGGGCTGTTTTGACTATAACAATTTTTTTAAAGGTACATAATTATAATTTTAGAAGATGTTCATAAAAAAGATAAGCACTAGTTGATTAAAAAAAGTAGGTATACCATTAATATTGCAAATTATATTTTATCCTCTCATAGTGTATGTCTATTTAATTTTTTGATTATGTAATGGACACTTTGTTTACTGACTTGTTTCGTCGAACTGTTTGAATCCCTTTTTGCTTTTAATCAGATTTATGTGAGAAGCTGTGAAGCTATAAAATATTGTTTCCGGAGAGTTGAATATCCGAGAATGTTGAATTATTGAATGTTATTGCACCCAACAAACACCTAATTACAACCTCCTTTACGTATTAACATTTTTTTCGGCAGTTTTATCAACATTTGAAATTCTCACAACACAATGCAACACACACTTCGGGTTCTTTTTCACTTCACTGCCCAAAACAGCGTTACATCACACAAACCTCGTACCTGAGTGGTTTATAGTTTGAATAGCTGCACTATTAAAAACTAAAATACTTAAATATTACGACAAAGCCACGATTTTAATATTATTTCAATGCGATCGACATGAACGGTAACGGAACTAACTGAAATACTTTAGTCGGGCACTTCTAATTTCTGCCGTATTGAGCGCCGCGGTCGGAATTTTTAAAATCAACTGAAATGCACCAAGCCTATAGCCAATAAATACTTGACTGAATTTAGTAAATTTATTCTCTTAAGTTCTCTATTCTAGGTCTATGTATTTAATATTTTATGTTATTCTCTATTTCGATATTTTCCTTATGTAATTTATTTATGTAATTTAAAATTCTGTCTACACATAACGTTTTACTAGTCAGTTTTGCGTGTCAGGTAAACCCTACGGTCTAGAAAACTGTTAAAAAGAACGTCATTACTACACAAATTTTAGTTAAATATCATTTGTAAACACGCAAAGCTAATAATTGTGTAAATAGTATACTTTGGAAATAGTACATGCAAAAATATTATCTGGCACTGGTCACTTTACTTCCGTGATATGTATTTTAATGCATACGACAGAGATAAATATATACGACCAGTTGACAGACAAAGAGACAAGATAAAAAGCGGCATACAGTGTTGCCGGTTCGTACGTGAAATATCATAATATACGAATAATGCTCAATTATGTTAGACACTTGCTTGAAAACTTGAAATAAAATATCTGGAGTAACTCTTTACAAATATCATAGAAATAAATATTCATTAGTTTGTTCAGATTGCTAACCGTATTTTAAGTTGTAAAACTTCGTTCTAAAACTATGTGTCACGGGTTACACGCGATAGAACCAAGAAAATTTATATTAAATTCAAACAGCGTTTGATTTTAACCTTAGTTACTAAATTAACAACTATGATTGTTCGTTTTGTCTTGTTTTTGTAGTTTCGTCAGGGACAGAATGTAGTTCTGAGACTGAAACATAATAAGAATCTACTACAGCTGTAGTAAAATGAGTAACTAATATTATGGAAATCGATGATTAAAGAATACAAGGATATTATGTAACACCCATATACGGGCTGCAGCAGAATTTGTGATATTAGACGCCATTTTTTTGGTTGTAACGAATGAGTGATCAGCTGGTCATCAGTGACAATTTTAGCGATTTTTAATAGTTTGTGTCTAGTAACTTTGTATAAACTTTATTACAATGGTGGTTAGTTGTTCAGATTTCAAGTGTAAAAGCCGCAGCGATAATAAAGAGCCAGGTGTTACGTTTTATAGGTAAATAAACAGTCCACTCCACCTTTTTGTCATTTTCTTACTTTTCTTATTGCATTCGATAATTATTTTTCTGATATTATATACAGGTTGTTAATTTGTTTATTACTCGCGGCAAGAGCTTTATGGTTGAAATATGGCAACTTCGGCCCGCTCGTCGATAGCCGACGCGACGGGACGAGTCGGCAGAAAACCCTGTAAGTGCATGCGTTCTCAATAGGTACCTAGTGTTGCCATTCTGTTCGCCTATAAGTAACTGTCCAGTTAACAATCTGTATACTTGATATGCGCTATACGTCGATACTACTTTTGTACCCTTTGTTAACATTTTAATACGTTTTTTCGTAATTAATTAGTATGATACCAGCGCATACACCATAGGCATAGTCAAAACATTTATAAAAAATATAAATATCTCCTTAAGCAGCTAAGTTAAGAAAAATATGTACCACGGCACTGTTTGGTGGTATGGTAAAAATTTGGTCTCTGATGTTATTTGTCCTTGTATTTTTTAGTCATTGGTGTATTTCGTAAACGCTTATTTAGGTGGTCTGAAATTTTGATTCACAACTCGGCAATACCGCATAGAAGAAATGTATCAACCCAACTTTTTTCTCTTTTTAATACATTTGATTTTTCATTAAGCTGTCTCCATCACTGTCTTACGCATTAAATTCCAGACCACGCTTCTACGGCGATCAAGTATGTATATTTAAAAGTAGCTTATTAAAGATCCTGTAATATATCCATATTATTTTTTTTTGTTAATTTACTTGTATTTAATTCGTCAGTTTAAGAAAATGTCAGTTTTGTAAAACGATCCCGCCAATTCTCTAGACGGTCTTCCGTCTTAATTCAGTCAAATAAATTGGAAAAAATACGTATCAAGATACGTTTTTACAGAGTAAGACTAGAGGTACACGCAAACTGACCAGAGCCGCACGCGCCGCATCGACCGAAGAAAAATATTGTTCGTGTTACTTTCAGTTAAGGTGCGCACACTAGCCAGAGCCGCACGAATCGCATCGACGAAAATGCGGCCGGCATTGTTGGGCCAGAATGATTTTCGGTAAATGCGGCTAGTGCTGCTGACGTCACACGCAATTCCTTCCACTCTACGTAGCGTAGGTAGCCCAAGAGGATATAAGAAATTCAATATGCTAAGAAAGTTCGCAAAGTTTTCATGGCTCATATTGAAATATTAAAAATTTTTTAGTTCATCCTCAATTAAATATGGAAATAACGTGTATTTTTGCCAATATTGTGAACCTATAACTTTCGATTCTTTCTCGTGATTTCTTCTTCTATTAGCAAGGAGCTCATAATTATTTCTTGTTCGTTGTCATTTATTGTCGAGAAATATTAAAAAACACGCTTATCACCGCAGACAGGACTCCGGAAGCGACTGATGAGAAATTCGATTGGCAAATACGAGTGTAGTAGGGGCAAAAAGAAACAAAATAGCTAATAATGCGGCCCGTGCAGCGAGTGCGGCTCTGGTCAATGTGTGCGTACCTTAGTAGGTAAAACTTTATGTGTATTAAATTGGACTTAGATTTTACGTAAAAATTTATGTAAGATTTTTTTAAACTGTTGATATGGAGTCAGATAAAGATACATTCGACAAACGATATTTCCCTCGTCTCCCACTTCTCGTTCGACGACAAGCAAATGGTAGTTTCGAATTTCGACTCTTTCTAGTATTCAAATACTTTGTTGATAATCAAATGAATGCCAGAATCAAATATTTTATTTATATGTATTTGAATAGTCTTTTTACTACCCTGTTACGTGTTTAACTATTAAATTCAATTGATTTGTAACTTTTGTAGTCTGATATTTTGAATGAATTAGTCTGATATTTTGAACTTTTAGTTTTTTATGTTTCACTTTATATACCCTTAAATCGATATTTATGCACAATGAAATCAAAATTTCCATCAGATATTTATAAATACCGGGTGCGTCTCAAAAGTGTGGCTCACCCCTATAACTTTTATATATTTTAAGATAAAAAAAAACGACATTCGGTATGTTTGTATATCACATAAATTAGGATTGATTGGCGTATTTAATTCTTTTCAGTCACTTCCTGTTTCAAATTTTGATTTTTAAATGACACCCTCTGTATTTTTTTTTCTTTATTCAATAGAAAATGACACTCTGAATAGAATGACATATCATATACCGAAATGTGTGATTCCGAAATCCAGTGAAACGTGATAACCTGTTATTTAAGTAAATAATACCCAACAAGGATAATACCTTTAATCATTTTTACGTAAAATTTTTAACGAAATTTTGAGTTTTATGGTTCCCAACAAATATTATTGTTATCTCTTTATCATATTAACGCATGAATATACTTGCTACATGTATACACATTTTTTTGTACCGTTTTTTTTTTCTCTCCTCTAAAATTAGGAATAATGGAGTTAGCAATTTATCACATTTCACCAACGATATGTAAACTTTTGACATATTCTCTTAAAAAAACATCGTATTTTAAATTTCAATCTAGAGTGCCATGGCTGTGTTAAAAACACTAACTTTTAATCAAGAAGGCTTGGAAAATAGATTTGATCGTCGAATGTTTTTAGTGTCTTGTCCTGGCCATTTGAAATATGGCCAAATGAAATATGGCCAAAATGAAATATGGCCATTTGAAATATGGCTAAATCGTATTTTTAATCATATCTCAATTTTTTTCAAATGGAACGAGGGTGGCTCATTATCGTATTTGGAAAAAAGCATTTTTTTAAGAATAATTTTGTACCACACACTTGGTATTCGAGTCAAATTGTCTTTATGAAGCGCATGTTACAATTTCAAATAAACCAGATGCAAAAATGTCAAAAGTTGACATATGATATGTCATTCTATTCAGAGTGTCATTTGTTTGTCATTTTTTATTGTCATCAAGTAAAAAAATACCGAGGGTGTCATTTAAAAATAGAAAAGTTGTAGTCATTTCCGGTGAAACAGGAAGTGATCGAAAACAATAGAATACGTCAATCAATCCTAATTTATGTATGTACCGATGATGTACCGTATGATCGAATAAAAACGGCGTCAGTAATGAAATGGCTATGAAATGAAGATCACTGTGTCATTTTTTATATGTAAATTTATATGGGAAATGTCATTGATCAATATTTCCCAGCCAACTGGACGCCGTTTTTTTTCGATCATACGGTATTTATATTATATTATTATTTATCTATCCATATACTAACAGCAAATCTCGTTTTTTTATCTGACAAAAATAAAAACGTTATAGGTTATAGAGATTAGCAACTTTTGAGACGCATCTCTATTTTTTAGCTTAGAATTAATATTTTTTTTTTATATTCGGCTATAATCTCTAGCTATTTGTTATATTTTTGTTTCATCAATTTAACGAAATTTTTTTAGGAATAATTTTATTTTTAATTCTTTTTGCTCTACAGTTTTTTTTTAATTTTTTTGAAAGAAATATCTAGAGGTTTTGATGGTTGAAAATACTTACCCTTTTTTTAATGATATAATAACAGCATTTGACACTAGTCTATAGAAATGGATTTTCTTTTTTTATATTATATCAATATTGTGTAAATTCTATTAAGTCTTTCATGTATATTATATCAATTATTAAAAGTCTATAAGAATATCAAGTGTTTTATTTTAAAAATGGTATGGTAATGGGTTATAATAACAATTTTTAAGAATTAATATTAAAAGGTGTATTTTGATATGTTTTAAGGGAGAATTGGTTTTGATAGAGTTTGTAGAAATGTTTCAAAGCAATTTTTATAGAGAAAGTAAGATAAAATGATCGATCAGCAAAATATGTTCGGATGGTAAAAAAATTGTCAATTAAAAATTCAAATTTTGCATCCGGGCGGGTCAATGAAGCCAGCTGCGCACGGTTGACAGGTGACCGTGGCGCCACCTACAACAAAAAAACGAGACAAGCAAGGCCGCCGTTATAGAGTTTTTGCACGGGCGACATGTTAAGATTAGCAGCGTTCGCGGCGAAATAATCGTAATCCACTGACGAAAAATGGTTTTGTGACTCGAGGTGCGCCCCAGGGACCGTCTCGAAGGGCAGATCCGTGACAGGGCGGCGCCAGAATCCCAGTAATTCGCCAGTCAAGTCGCCGAGGGTGTAGGTAGTATCGTTGTAGTTTTTAAGGATCCCGTCAGGGGAATACGCGAAACCCGAAAAAATGACGGAAATCTATTTTTAAATGCGCCTTTCTGTTGTGTGTGTCGTTAATATACATCTGTCTCGGCGGTCTGGGCTATTTTCGATCGTCGCGGGGTAAAAATAGCCCGCCGTGTCTGCCGACTGTGGGCTGTGAGGATGTTGCCGCGAAGCCATTTTTTCATCAACATTTTCGGCTAATTATTTTCGTTGCCGCTGTCTAAAAACGCGTGTGAACGTTATTTACGCGGTGCAGTGTCGTGTCTGTGATTTCCAGTGTTCCCCCGAATATCCCTTCATCAATTTTACCTACGAATTGATCGACTCTTGTGAGTAAACTTTTTCATCATTTTTCCCCATATTTTTAAGTAAAAATGCATTGACGATCCTGTTTAGACGAAACTATATCACCTTTGTATTAAACTAAACATTTCTTGACCACCGAGTATTGAATTTTGCCAAAAACAAGTAAAAATTAATCCAACCTCAACCTTCAACCTAGTAACCGTGTTGCCAAATTTTAAGACAATTCCTAAACGTTTTTTCTTTAGCGATATTATTGTTTATTTTCTGTTATTTAATAAAGTTAAAAATATATATAATATATGTATATAAATACGTTTTCATTAATTTTATTTTAAAATTATATCTAACGTTTAGCAGTTAAGATTTTTGAGATTTGAAAAATATCCATATAAACATTAATTATTTAATAAAAATATAAAATAAAATATAATTTTCAATTTCTGTTTAATTTGGCTCCATTTATAGTAGGTACCATCAAGGTGAATATAGATTTTCTATTTTGATTAATAATTATTATTTGAATATCAAAATATTAAATCGTGATAATGGCAACATTGTGTTTTCACACAGAATAGTGACGACAGATCATCTATGGACAGATCGTGGACAGATCTCTGGATGAGTACATAATTTCTTGATAAAAAAATAGTTTGCTTTTTATATCATGGAAAGTTATTGTTATTACTAAATATCGAATAAAACGATAAGAAAAGATTTTATTTACTATATTGTATAAAATTTTCTGACAGTAATTGATTTAATTTTATTGTTTTGTTGTAGTTTTACAAACAGTAAGTGGATCTGCTTTGACAAAATATGTGGTTTAACACACGAAGTGATGTATGAGTAGAACTCAAGTTGTGAAGTGTGTTGTGGTATTGTTTGAGACTGAAATCTAACCACGGTGGCTTCAGGTCCAGATTGTGGCCCCGTGGCCGCCGACAAGGGGGCAGATTGCTGGTGAGTTGTGGCTGTATATTAAGAACCTTTTTTGCAAACCTCTTGTTTGTTTTGTTTTTAATTACCTAGTCTATACTTAGAGGTTTGTAGAAACGAGTTTCTTTTGGTGTGAAAAGCATACACCTGTGTTTTTCTAATTGTGGGCCATGTAGGTGGTCCCCCCTGGCGGCCATGGGCTGTTTTGGAGACAGGGATGCTGGACAAGCCACAGAAGACATCAGATCTCAGAAAAGGATCAGCGATCAAATCAATAGGCAGTTAGCTAAAGAAAAACAAGTACGTGAAAATTATTTTTTCTGATTTTTACACAATATTTCTCTGAAATGTATGTTCTGCAGGGTTGGGTAACGACGCGTAGACAATTAATTTTCTACGTGTATGTAGAAAAGTCCGTAGAAAATGTAGAATATGCAGAATATTAAGTAGAAAATGTATAAAATCTGAGAACAGGTACAAAATTAATTTTGTATATTTAAAGCCGTTTTTTCACTTTAGAAGTTTCTTTTTTGATATTAAAACTTGGTGATAAAACTATAATATGTGTGGGCGCCCTATCTCTCTATTCTGTGACCCTACTGAAGATAAGTAATCCATCTGAAGACTATTAGAATATTTTTTTCTATTTAATCTGAAGACCGTACAGAAAGTACCTTTTTTTAATTTTACCATAGAAAGCCTGTGGTTTCATAATCTATGTACATTTAATAATAATTATTGTAGTTTGTATTTCTGACTTTCATTATGTTAGATATTATTTTTTTTATTTGTTGCTCTGTTCAAGTCTTGCCAAACTTTACAGAATTACACAGAACTATTCTGTAAACTTTGATTTTACTATTGAAAACTTTTTTGTTAAATGTAAAACATACTATAGCAACTACAACTTCGACTATAGTATGTCTAACAAGTCAGGGAAGATTTTGACAGATGACATCCAAAAAATGACAGTACAATTGCTGTCCTCCATTCACGCAGTTGTGCAGCTCTGAACTGTTCAAGAACACGATACTCTCACTCCATTCAATTGAGTCATAAAGTTCCAGAACTGTTCCGCGCCATATGAAGGCACCAGGCTATTGCGCACAGCTCCTTTCAGAACCGTTTTCAAGTAGCCCAGGGCGTAAAGCACTGGAACTTGACGTTCGCGAATGGAGGACAATAATTATGCACGTGAATTATAATGACACAACAGTCTCTCTCACGGATTTTTTCCGTTGTACATATCTATTTAAAATAATATGGAAGTTAATAGTTGACCTTTTTTTGACATACTATAGTCTGTCCAATGAGAAGATCCTTGACAGTGATAGATGTGTCTGTCATTTTAATTTCAAAGTAGTTTATTTTATTTTACAAAGAAATAAGTTGGTACAACTGGAACGCATAGCAGGATATATTTAAAATTTGATTGACAAGATCACAAGTGATTACTTCAAAATATTGTGAAAAAAACTGTATAAAACTGAAAAAATGTAATCGAGTTATTTTATTTAATAAAAATGGTATGTGTTAATACAAAACAAACAAGAACAAGACACTACATACCAAAAAAATATAAAAAAGAACTATTATTTACTTTCAAGCTTTATGAAACTACCCGCATTTATGATTATATTTATCAATATAACTTATGTACAAATACAAATTTGTAATATTCCACAGGAATAAATAAAACAACATAGGTAAATAAAACAAACTATTTTATTAATAATAACACCTATCAAATTTTATACCTTAAAGGTTGATTAATTAACTTTAATCTTAATTTTTTTAAACCAGTACCTTTTGACATTATTTTTCTGTAGTACTAAAATCCATTATTTACCTATCGTGTGATGCCGATATTTTACAGCTACTCCAGTTTTTAGTATGTGTTTAGTTTGATCCTTCTACCATATACGAGATGCACTTATCTACGACGAAATGGTATACAAACTTTATCGATGGCAACTTGGCAACTTCATTGGTGTATAAGACTTTCTGCCTGGGCAGCGAGTATTAACCATAAACTGTGCTCTGGGTCTACAGTTAATTTTCACTCGATTTTTCCTCCACTTGACTTCAAAAGACACAAAACACACGTAATAATACGAATCAAAATGCATCATCTTCCAAAACGCAGGGTATTTAACAAAAGTTGACACAAAATTATAACCTATAATTTGGCAAGACTTTGACAAGCGTCAAAAATGATAAAAATCTAAAGGCGAGTTCATACGCATCGGCGTCCGTTTGTCGTTCATCGTTCCGTCAAACCAATAAAATTGAAATACGATCTGTCATTTTTTAAATAAACCAATAAAACTGGTTAAAAAACAACAAGACACGACGCATGACGGATTTATATTTAAACCCATCCATAGATAACTTTAAAATTATTAGAAACTTTTTTTAGTAAAATAAATAGATTGGTATGGGACGTCATCTGCTTTTCTTCTGTCATCGTCTGTCGAAATCTTACCTGAGAATATAAAACATAGTATATATATATATATATATATATATATATATATATATATATATATATATATATATATATATATATATATATATAATATATGTTCCCGTCATCCCTTCGTGGGACATAGGGCTTCTAAGAGATGTTTCCATCTGATCCTATTCTGAGCTGTCTGTTTGATCTCTCCCCATGTTTTCCCGACCTCTTGGGCTTCAGAGGTTACTGTTCTTCTCCAGATATTCCTTGGTCTTCCCCTGGCACGTCTTCCCTGTGGATTCCACTCAAGTGCCTGTCTAGCGATATCTCTGTGGGGTCTGCGCAAAATGTGCCCAATCCAGCCCCACTTTCTTTTCTTAATTTCAATATCTATTCGATGTTGTGATGTTCTTCTCCACAGTTCTTCGTTGTTAATTTGATTGGGCCAGAAAATTCTCAATATTCTTCGAAGACACTAAGTTGTTAACAAGTCTTGTTAACAAACACCTGTAGGCGATCCATGAGACCACGCGTAACCTTGCATGTTTCGCATCCATAAAGCAAAATAGATTTGACATTGCTATTGAAGAGCTGGACTTTAGTTTTTTTGCTATATATAGAGGAGTTCCACACAGGTGTAAGCATGCCAAAAGCTCTTTGTGCCTTCAAAATCCTTTCCTCTATATCTTTCTCTGTGCCCCCATCGCTGTGAACCATACTTCCCAGGTACTGAAATTCATCAACTCTTTCGATGGCTCGGTCCGCTCGGTTGGAGAGGTATAGATCTTGGTTGTTGGGAGTATTTGACCTCATTTCTTTGGTTTTCGCCACGTTGATTTGAAGACCGACATTATTAGCTTCCTCTTGGAGTCTAAGAAGTTTTTGAGACATATCCGAATGTGAATGGGAAAAGATGCATAGATCGTCTGCGTAATCCAGGTCTTCTAGCCTGCTTAAGAGTCCCCATTGTATCCCTAATGGTTCTTTAAATACTATATACTATCCATTTGTTAAATAATAAATAACAATTGGAGATATCGTTATTAGTTTATTTCTTGTACTAATCGTGATTAAAATATTTGAAATAAATATAAACTCAAAAAACTTAAGATATACAAAACTAATTTTCTACATGTAGAAAATACGGTAGAATATATCAAATTTTCTACCTATCCAACCCTGATGTTCTGTTGTGCCATTTCTGTATCCCATTATATTGAATGTCTTTGAGGTATTGTTCTTAACTTCATATTTGTAAAATTTTAGGTGTACAGAGCAACACATCGGTTATTATTGTTAGGAGCGGGCGAATCTGGAAAATCGACTATCGTGAAACAGATGCGCATCCTTCACGTAAACGGTTTCAGCGAGCGCGAGAAAAAGCAGAAAATAGAAGACATTAAGAAGAATATTCGAGATGCCATTATTGTAAGATCACCTCTAATTACTTACCATTTGAACTAATATATCTGGTCGTTTTAGACGATAACGGGGGCCATGTCGACGTTGAGTCCCCCAGTTCAGCTGGAGAAGCCAGAGAACCAAGTCAGGGTGGATTGGATCCAAGATGTGGCCACTGGGCCGGACTTTGACTACCCTCCTGAGTTTTATGAGCACACAGAGGCCCTGTGGAAGGACCGAGGTGTTCAGGTGAGTTCTTCAATCAGTATTACTTAGGTATGTGGTGTAAAAAGAGTCATGGTAGGTTAGATTGGATTATTAAATGGATTTACATACTAGATTTTTTAGTTTTAAACAGTGTCTAGTAATGCTAACTACTATATTGATCTCTGCAACAAAGACTTAGAAGTCACAAAGAGTAGAATAAGTTGAAAAACGGCGATATTGTGTTGCTCTATCCATTTAGTGTATTTTGAATACAACTTTTACATGGAAGAATATAGTATCTTGAAATAATTATTGCAAGCTGCCAGAAATACTATTTTAGGTTATACTAACTCATTTTGGTAAATTGAATTTTTATAAAGATACTTTTAAAAGTAATTATGATAGTAATTATGATTTTTCTGGTATAAAAAGGAATACTATAGTAAGTCCTTCAAAAATAATTAACTTTTTTTTTCAATATAGACATTACTTTTTAAACAAATCGAGCTAAAAAGTAATTACTTTAATTTTACAGAAAATTTTTCATTTTTTAAAAGAAATGTTAATATGTGTTTCTCATAATAGATGAATATTACTTTAAAAGTTTTCATTGCATGGGTCTATACCATAGGTCTATATACAGGGGGTCCCAGAAATAAGTGCAAATGTTTTAACTGGTGGTATAGTTCAACCCCAGAGACATGCCTATGAGGTTTTTTTCGCGAAAAAAAAATTTTGAAAATTCGAAATTTTTTGGAATTTTTTTTAGTTTTTAGTTAAAAACATAATTTCTTGATAATATGGCAACATAGGTATTAGATTAAATTTACAAGAAAGAAAATCCAGAAAAGATCCAGTGGTTTTGAAAAATTTTCAAAGCAAAATAACTCCGTTATTTTGGACTTATTTGAAAAACGATAAAGAGAAAATATGTTTCTTTTATCGAGATCTACCACCCCTTAAAATATTTGCACTTATTTCTGGGATACCCTGTAATGTCATGTATATATATATATATATATATATATATATATATATATATATAATACATGTATATAATACATCCAAAACCTTGTTAAAAGTTTCAAACAGAGCGAAAAAAAAATTCAAAAAGAATTGAATAAACCATTAATTGTTTTAACAATTATTGTGTGTAAAGATTGTTTTGTCTAGGATATTTTTTGTTTACACGAATTTACCGTTATTAATTCAAGGTATTTACGTGATTTAGGGTACGTACGAGCGCAGCAACGAGTACCAGCTCATCGACTGCGCCAAGTACTTCCTCGACCAGGTCGACGTCATCAAGCGATCCGACTACACGCCCACTGAGCAGGACATCCTTCGTTGCAGAGTGCTGACCAGCGGCATATTTGAAACGCAGTTCCAAGTCGATAAGGTTAATTTCCAGTAAGTACCGCCATTTTTGTGTTAATATACTAACCAACTACACCCTTGTAACGCCCTTTTAAATAAATAGCCTGGGTTTGACTTAAAAGTCCAAAATACGTTGTTTATTTGAACTAGAGATGAGCAAAACTGCGATTCTCCAATCGCAATTGAAACTGCTATTGCGATTTTGAAATCGCAGCGACTGAGACCTGCGATTGCGATTTTAATATTTACCAAACCTAAATATTCGTAAAAAAAATGCTTTTTCTAAATATGCCAATGTGCCACCCACCTTTCATTTGAAAAAATTGAAATATGATTAAAAATGGGATTTGGGCATCTTTTAACTAGAGATGAGCAGGTCCGGATGGATATGCATCCACGGACCTCTCGCTGGTACCGGTACTGATGGATGCAAATCCTACTTAATATCCACCCCTATCCGTGGAACTGCATTGCTGACAGCTAACCAGCTACGTCGCGTTGTCGGCAGGTAACGAGAACATAACGATGCAACGAAATAAATCAGTATTGGAGAGTATTGGAATAAAAAGGTAATTATTGTAACTGCTGCTGAGCTATATTTACTGTTCTTTAAGTTTACTTCCGTGGATCGTAACCATATTCGAAATTATTTTGTATTATTTAAAATTTGTGTTGTGTAGTGTTGTTACTTTATTGGTAAATTCAAGAAATTATAGTACAGTTTGTCAAATCAATCAAATTTAGTTTTATTTTATTTTTTGTAAAAAATACCATTTTATTTCTTAAAAGTATTATCTGTTAAATGCTGATCATTCTGCTTCGAGCATGAAGCGATCCCTACGGCATCGGCAGTCTCAACTATCTTATATTATTTATAGTATGTAATGTTTGTAATGTTTTGCCTCATGACGCCTCATGATGATTATTGGCCAATGCTAGTCATAAATTTGAATCTTAGGGTACCTCTACTAAATAAATAGAACAGCTAATATCATATAATAAGGATTTACCAAAACGCAAACATCAGATTTCCCTGACGAACTACAAAACATTTAAATGCGGATTGTTTTTGCAAAACAAAATTTGGATAAATTAGGTTAGAATGATAAAGATCTGGCGGAACTGGAACCTGAATCTTGATGTAAATCCGGATCCGACTCTTAAAACACCGGATCTACTCATCTCTACTTTTAACTGGCTAGGACAAGACGCGAAAAACAATAGACGATCCAATCTATTTTTCCAAGGCACCTTGATTAAAAATTAGTGTTTTTAACACAGCCATGACATTCTAGATTGACATTTAAAATACGATTTTTTAAGCGAAAATGTCAAAAGTTGTCATTTGATATGCCATTCTATTCAGAGTGTCATTTTCTATCGAATAAAGTAAAAAAAACCGAGGATGCCCTTTAAAAATCAAAAGTTGTAGTCATATCCGGTTAAACAGGAAGTGGCCAAAAACAATTGAATACGTCAATCAATCCTAATTTATGTCATATACTAACATACCAAATCTCGTTTTTTTATCAGAAAAAATAAAAATATTATAGGGGTGAACCACTCTTGAAAAACACCCGGTATATTATGATCGTGACTCTAAAAAATAATACCTTCTCTAAAAAAATTCAATTGCAGTTTACAAAATGCTTCAATAGAAAACTCACTACTCACAACCATGAGTAGGGGTTATTCTGACATTTCGTTACGTAGGCGGGAAATCTGTGAGGTTATGGGTTACTGAACTGACTTGAGTTTCGTTTTGGTTGCGATGACTTGTTTTCAAAATTTCTATCTTTCAAGATGTACAATCCCATCCCGCGACATTGCAGATGTAGACATCACGGCGGAAAATAACGCCTGGCTATAGGCAGTTTCGCAAGAGCACCTGTGGCTCCGTGACTGAGGCCATTGCTTCGTGTGCGAATGGTCCGTGGTTCAAATCTCACGCTGGACCAAAACTTTTATATATTTTTTTATTTGATTGCATTGGTTTCACCCTTTTTGGTTGGACTGGTTTAGTTGTTTGGCGGGTTGGTTAGAGTGGTTATTTGGAGGGTGTTAATTCATTGGTTAGTTGGTTAAACGTCGCGGGATGGGATTGATTGTACATTAAATTTGCCGCTAAGTGCAAATGTCAAATACTCCCCCACTCATGGTTGCTCCATTCCTGTCCGCAGACGCTTGTTTCAATGACCACAAAATTACATTCGCACCAATATCGCAAATCGCTACTCCTAAAAATTCAAACTCGCAGATAGAAATCACGGTCCCAGTTTACAAAATCATAATTACAGCAAAATTGCAATATTAAGCTATAGTAATACTGGTTGCCTAAATTGAAACTCGCAAATAGAAGAAATCGCATGCGCGGTTTCCTATGAGAGCCAATCGCAGGTTGCGATTGCGATTTTAAAATCGCTGCGATTGAATCGCAGTTTGCGATTTTTTGCTCATCTCTAACATTTGAGATACTTTCGTTTAGTATGTTCGACGTGGGTGGACAGCGCGACGAGCGCCGCAAATGGATTCAGTGCTTCAACGATGTGACGGCCATTATCTTCGTAACGGCATGTTCGTCGTACAACATGGTTCTACGCGAGGACCCCACGCAGAACCGGCTCAAAGAGTCGCTGGAGCTGTTCAAATCGATCTGGAACAACCGGTGGCTGCGCACCATCTCGGTCATCCTCTTCCTCAACAAGCAGGATTTGCTGGCTGAGAAAATTCTGGCAGGCAAGAGCAAGCTAGAGGAGTATTTTGCAGAGTTTGCGCGTTATCAGACGCCGCAGGAGGTGCCCAATGAGAATAATGAGCCGCCGGAAGTGTTCAGGGCCAAGTATTTCATAAGGGACGAATTTTTGGTGAGTAAACATTATTATAGTTCATATCAAATAAACTTTTAGTCACGTGATTAGGCTTCACCGGCACAGCCCACTTTTATATATTTTCTTTTCATCAAAATATTTTAGGAAACAAAAATATAATAATTATAAATATATAAACAGTTTTTATTTACAAACCAAACCAAACCTCACCTTCTTAACAGCACTTAAGGGCTATTACTACCGCTTTTCCGTTCAAAATATTCTCATTAAGTTGCGATGAGTTTTTTACGGCTATTAAGCTAACTTGTACTCTTCGCACTAAAAGAAGTTCTAAAAAGAATAGTGTTCGACTGCAAGGTCTGCTAGTAAACATTTTTAAGCTTAAAGTATCACAACACGATTTATTTAAACCACAAACTCGTAATACAAAACTAAAATGTCAAAACGAATGACAATGTCAGGAAATAAATAGATAAATGTGGCAACTTGGACATTTTTTACAGCAGAGCTACCACCTGATTCCCCAAGCAGGAAATTTAAATTTCAGTCAGTCGGCACCGGATATGTTCATGATTAGCAACAGTGAATTTAAAAATCACGTCTCGCGATTACGTAACTAAAAGTTTAATTGGTATCGAATATACCAATGTATCCGGTAAACGGAGACATGAGAATGCAATAAATTTAAACACTAACAGAATTTTCTAACCAATCAAGGCCTTTAAATTCAACCAATAAAATTAATATTGTATCGTCGGATATTCGAAAAACGTCCGCTAGAAATCAGAAACTAGGTTTTTTCTAAAAAAATATGCAGGTGAAGAGGTATTTTAAATATTTCTAATTTTTTTGAGAGTATTTTGCTATCTCATAAAATAAAGTGGTGGGGGTAGGTTAAACATGCTTTTATTAAAACAAGTATAACTTTGGGTTATAAATAAGTATAATAGTTATAGTTTATATATAGTATAATAGTGGGTTAGCCGATTTTAACAAACTAGGGCTGTTTAAGACCTTTTCTTTCTTAATGATCTCCTAATGATAAATTTTGTTTCCATAGATTTTTTCGTGTTAGCAAGAGGGCGCTGGTTTGACATCACAACTGATATTGCGCTTTTGCATAAAAAAATTAAATAGCACACTATGTTTCTTTTTGCACAGTTGAATAGAGCACAAAATTTTCAAAATATCAGAGCAAACCGCAACTTTCTATTTTCTCTCTAACCGGAGATATAGTCTGTCCAACGAGAAGATCCTTGACAGTGATAGATGTGTCTGTCATTTTAATTTTGAAATTAGAATGACAGACACATCTATCACTGTCAAGGATCTTCTCGTTGGACAGACTATATCTCCGGTTAGAGAGAAAATAGAAAGTTGCGGTTTGCTCTGATATTTTGAAAATTTTGTGCTCTATTCAACTGTGCAAAAAGAAACATAGTGTGCTATTTAATTTTTTTATGCAAATTTTATGAAATAAACTACTTTGAAGTAGTTTATTTCATTTTACAAAGAAATAAGTTGGTACAACTGGAACGCATACCAGGAAATTAATATATGTATTTAAAATTTGACTGACAAGTAACTTCAAAATATTGTGAGAAAAACTGTATAAAACTGAAAAAATGTAATCGAGTTATTTTATTTAATAAAAAACGGTATGTGTTAATACAAAACAAACAAAAACAAGACACCACATACCAAAAAATATAAAAAAAGAACTATTTCTTACTTTCAAGCTTTATGAAACTTCCGGCATTTATGATTATATTTATCAATATAACTTATGTACAAATACAAATTTGTAATATTCCGCAGCAGGAATAAATAAAACAACATAAATAAAACAAACTATTTTATTAATAATAACACTTACCAAATTTTATACCTCACAGGTAGATTAATTAACTTTAATCTTAATTTTTTTTAAACCAGTACCTTTTGACATTATTTTTCTGCAGTACTAAAATCCATTATTTACCTATCGTGTGATGTCGATAGTTTACAGCTACTCCAGTTTCTAGTATGTGTTTAGTATGGTCCTTCTACCATATTCGAGATGCACTTATCTACGACGAGATTGTATACGAACTTTATTGATAGTAACTTTATTGGTGTATCTCTGTATAAGACCACAGTATAAGACTTTCTGCCTGGGCAGCGAGTATTAACCATAAACTGTGCTCCGGGTTCTACAGTTAATTTTCACTCGATTTTTCATCCACTTAACTTCAAAAGACACAAAACACACGTAATAACACGAATCAAAATGCATAATCTTCCAAAACGCAGGGTATTTGACAAAAGTTGTCACAAAATTATAACCTATAATTTGGCAAGACTTTGACAAACGTCAAAAATCTAAACGCGAGTTCATACGCATCGGCGTCCGTTTGTCGTTCATCGTTCCGTCAAACCAATAAAATTGAAATACGATCTGTCATTTTTGAAATAAACCAATAAAACTGGTTAGAAACAACAAGTGACGACGCATGACGAATTTATATTTAAACCCATCCATAGTTAACTTAAAAATTATTAGAAACTTTTTTTAGTAAAATAAATAGATTGGTATGGGACGTCATCTGCTTTTTTTCTGTCATCGTCTGTCGAAATCTTACATGAGAAAAAAAAACAGAGTATATTAAGAGAACAAATCATGTTAAGGTGCGTATACATTATCCGCACGAACGAACGAACGAACGAATGTTCGCTAGTGGTATGGACGGGGACCGCACGATAGGACCGCACGAGAAGACCGGAGGCATTTGTTGGCGAACGCCTTTGATGTACCGACTCGAAACGGATGGTCAAGCGAACGAACGGCCGCATGCGTTCGGTCCCCGTCTAAATATACCGCACTTTCGTTCGTTCGTTCGTTCGGATAATGAATACGCACCTTTAGGCTGCCGCTTAGGATTATATGGTCTAAAAATTATAGTAGTAGGCTAGGAAACCAAAAGAGGTAAATTGGTTACGTCAAAATATCAAAATGTTTAAGTTTAGTTTTTATGCATCCGAATTTCGGACGTTTTCTTAAAAAAAAATGACGTCATAAATTTTTAAACATGTTTATGTAATATTATCGTCTATCCATATATTTTTATGAATTTCTTGGTTTGGTTTGGTACTATTATACGTATATAGTTAGTTCTCAGATTAAAATTTTTGTTTGTCCGAAAGTCGGACAAGTCGGACAATCAATAATTTTATTAAAATTTTTAGTAATTTTGGGCCGCCATATTGCTTTTTACAGAAAACGACTGAATTTCGTATGGCCGATAACTAGGGATTTATTTCATGTAACGTCATTTAGTTATTAATCCAAGTTTATCCCTGATTTCACTTGTTTTCGTGTTTTACCTGGTTGTTTGTGTTATTTATTATTATATTATTAAGGTTATGTTGTTTGGGTCACTTTTCATATAGCATCGAAGGTATCTTCATTATGCACTACTGGTCCAAATCTACTCTTGATGTTCAGCACCAAGACCGTTGTAATCGGTAAATGTTTGGGCAGGAATTCTAGGATAGCGAATTATTGAACTTTTTTAATCATCTGAATGAAATGAACTATCCACAATTTCTAAGAGATGAATTGCCAATTTTGTTAGGGTATCCATCATGATGAAATTGCATTTATTGCTATTTTATCAGCATGATGGTGCAGTTGTGCTGCTTATTTTGCTATGAATGTGTGGGGCTTTTTGGATATCACTTACTTTAGTAGACAGAGACGCTGGAGTGTCATATTTCCATGGCCAGTAGTTTACCAGATTCATTATGCCTGGGTTTTTATTTATGAGGTCGAATCAAGAACGAACATAGATAAATAACAATTAAATGGCATTAAAATGAAATTAAAATATATGTTTTGATATCTTGACGTAACCAATTTACCTCTTTTTGTTTCCTAGCCTACTACTATAATTTTTGGATTTTATTGTCAAGGTCAAGGTGCATGTAGCGCTAAAATGTATTACTGGTTGCCTACACAACCGCAACGTGTCAAGAAAAATGGCGCATCCGCCAGAAAGTAAAAGACATTTTTAGGCGCCATCTCTTAATCAAGTCGACAAGTAAGCGAATCAGACAATGGAATTGTCCAGTATGAAGTAGAACGCTCTCCGAGAACTGTAGAAGTTTCGAGAAGCAATCAATAGAGTATATAAGCCAGCGTAACCGGCAGTTGGGACAGTCTGAAGTTTGATAATACTGCGTTTTAAATTGTGAATTAATTGGCGAAGGTGTCAGTACCGTTAGAGTAATAGTAGTTGCATAAATTGTGTTGTAAATAGTATAAGTTGTGAGACAAATAAAATGAGAGAGTGAGATAAATAAAATAAGTATTTTATCGTGAGTTTAAATTAGTGGACGGAATCCGTAACATTATAATTCTAGGCGACGCGACAGTTTAATCTGATTTATTTTCTTTATATCTCCCGTTAGAGAGAAGATAGAAAGTTGTGGTTTGCACTGATATTTTGGAAATTCTGTTCTATTTAACTGTGCAAACAGAAACATAGCCTGCTATTTAAATGTTTTATACAACAGTGCAATATCTGTTATGATGTCAAACAGCGCCCTCTAGCTACCATGAAAAAATATATTGAAACAAAATTAATACTAGAGATCATTAAGGAAGAAAAGCTCTTTTAAACGAGCCCTAGTTTGTTAAAATCGGCTAACCCAAACCAGAGTTATACTTATTTTCCCCCACCACTTGATGAGATAGAGCAAAATACTCTATATCAAAAAAATTACAAATTTCTCGATGATTGCAATAGTAATATATACGCCCCCTAGCGGACATTTTTCGAACTTGAAAATAATTTCCAGCGATTTCTCTTGGTCGATTTACCTATTACAATTGTTCCCAAAGTTATATGATAAGTAGTTTCTGAGATACAACCGACGTCCATTCTTAGTTGGCCACCCGGTACATAATTGAAGTAATTCAAAAACAAAGAATTGATTCCTACCCACAAGGTTTAAATTATACGATTTAAACGTTCTTTCTTATCATTAGTATCATTGTTAGTGATGTTCGTTTGAACTATTTTTTGTATATTTTTGTTCCAGCGCATCAGTACCGCATCCGGCGAGGGTAAGCACTACTGCTATCCGCACTTCACCTGCGCCGTGGACACGGAAAACATCAAACGAGTGTTTAACGACTGTCGCGACATCATTCAGCGCATGCACCTGCGCCAATACGAACTATTATAACCGCCCTTCGCGCTACACCTCCCCTTCCCCTAGCTAACCCTCTCAACTCTTTCCTCGTCCCCATCGTCATCAATAAAAATAGGACAGGTCACCCGGGGGACCGTTTCAACTACTTTGCTACCGCCGCCCTTCCGTCATTCCTAGTCCACACTTCTGCGTTCTTGTGTTTATTCGTCGGTTAATTCTCGATTGTGGCTTATCACTGACAGTTTTTATATTTAACATATTATGGCATTATTTAGACTTACTATTCACTTATTTTTGTCTTTTCGCGTAAATAAAACATAAATATATTTCTTTTTTCTGTCAAGAATAATAGACTCAAAATATTTTCACAAATACTCTACATGGTGCCCTATTTTCGTGTGTTCTATGGGGTTTCTCGTCTATGAGTAAAGACACAAAGATGCAGTTTTCACATCACTGCTACATTTTTCTGAAACTAAAGATGATACATGCAGATTTGTTCTAGCTTACTTTCTGAAATAAAGGGTGAATTTTAAAATTTTGCAGTTTCCGACTCCCTTTGTATCTCAGTTATCCTATAACTTATGGAAATGATGAAAACTGAGTTGTGTAGAGTTTTTCACGTAGAATCCAGTGGAGTACCTAGTTTTTTACTCTCTATGGGACTCAGCTTTCAACTTTTAGTTAAGTTATAATATAACCCAGATAAAAAATAGGTCAAATTCGCTCTGTATTTCAGAAGCCAAGGGGGTTAGGACAAATATGCGTGTAGCATCTTTAGTTTCATAAATGGTGTACAGTGATGTGAAAACCGTATCTTTTTATAGCATTTCCCAAGTCAATTGAAAGCAGTGAGACCTTTGTCCAGTCGACGCCGACAAAGACAGTGCCGAAATTAAGAGTCTATCTATTCCAACTGACTTCAGAAAAACTATATCTCTACTCATAAACGATAAACACCGTAAAACGCGAAAATGGGACATCCTGTAATAGAACGAAAACTATAGCGCAGTAGGAAAAAGAATAATATTGTCTTTATGTCAGTTTGAATTTTTTGACATAACAGCATTTTCGTGTCAATTTTCAGCGTGGCAGTGACAGCCCTGAACTTATTAATTTAATAATGATATTTCTCATTTCTTTAACAAGTTTATTATTCTTGATTTCAATTTCTTTGAAAAAGAGACACACAAGACAAAAATTACAAATAAAAATCGGTAGGACCAACTAAATACAACGCAAAACAAAAACAAATAGTTTTAACGTACAAAGTCGATAGAGAGGTGTTGATTCTCTGCTTTCCCTTTATTCGAACTACCTGCGCTATCGATGACGAATACAGAAGCAAAACAATCATGGCGGAGAATACTATCCTTGAGAGCATAAAACATATTTGACGAAGACAAGAAAAGGGGAAACATATTTTCGTTATTTTTCAGGGGATATTTGTTTTAAAATTGAGTTTGACGAAAAACTTTAAAATTCAACAAGTCCAGTGCCAAAATTATTTTTTTCATTGACTGCTCGGATAAAAAATAAATTTTATCGGGATAATAAAACTTCAGACCCTTCTATGATGATTGGTTCTTTTTAATTTTGTTACTTTTACAAATTTATATAGAATGGATATTTTTTACGAAAGTTATATGACATATGTAGATTATTTTTTAAAATTTATTTATTGTTGGATCATTCTTAGCTTAGTGCAATATTTTTACATGTGATACAGGGTGTCTCAAGAAAGGAAAGAGATTGAAGAAATTTTACGCTATATTTATATGTATTATTTTTACTATCAATACTGTTAAAAAAACGTTATTTTTTGTTAACGAAAAAAATCTTAGTTTATTTGACTTTTTTATTTTTATTAGACTTATATTATTTATTATAGACTGATTGGTCTAAAAAAGAAGTTTTCATGATTCTCATGATGAAAATGCACACAAGTTATGAAGTACATATATATACAGACTGTTATCGGCTGAGCTTGAATTTGAACTTTCTAGAGAACTAAAATATCCAGATCGGAGCCTTTTTACACTTCATGTTTCACAGTGAGCCTTTGATTTAAAATATTTTCATTTTTTTAAAGATATTTCAAGATACAGTGAGGCATTTAGGTTATAAACATAACTGGAAATTGTCTGATTTTCACAAAAATTTGTATACACCCTATTTTGAGGGTCGTATATTACTAATCTGGACTTTTTTGACGGTCTCTTAAGGTGTTTCAGAAAAAAACAAAATTTATTTAAACACTGCATTTTTCTTAATAGAAGTATAAAGTAATAATTTAATTTGGTGATGGTGGATATTAGGTACGTCGTCAATCTTGAAGTTATTGATGTAAATTTGATATTAATATATTCTACAATTAATGTTTAAACGTTTTAAGTACGGATCGTACGGATACTCGGCTAAATGTTTGAGATTTCTGCAATAAAATTATTTATTTTTGGAGGTTAGACTACAGCGTTCTCTCTCTCCCTCTCTCTCTCTCGTCTCGGTTTTCTTTGCTACTGGGCAATTGCCAGCTCAATTTCATGATGACCTCAATGTTGTCTGGCTGTACACCATACTGGGGCCATCTATTATTTTACAATAATTAAAACACAAAAAAAGGTCCTTATATGATCATTTCGAAAGCTTCTCCCACGCTGGTAGCATCCGGCTGCATAGGGCCTGGTTACCCCCGTGACAACGTGAAAAAAGGGTTGTCCTTTAAATACATTTTCTCATGGCACTTCAAAGTAGGCGAACTTGTATAAAATTTTTCATGGCACTTATAGTAGGCGAACTTTAAAAATGTTTCACAAAAATATGTATCTGAATGGGACACGAATCCACTTTAAAACTTTTGCACCAAAAAATATTAAGCTTTTACAAAACGATTACAAGAATATTAACAGAAAACAAGAAACAAAAATCGACCTCCGAACAACCAGTCATCAGACAGTATTCGATGTTGCCACGACGACTGACCGAACGGAAGTGATATAGCTTTCTTTATTAAGTTTAATAAGAGTGACAAGGATGACGCAGATTTAGGTTTATTTGTCTTTTGCTCGCGTCTGCGTATATCGCTGGCGGTAACAATGAAATATTCAAAATCGGAATTTTGTTTTATTTATACTTTCCTATTAATTTTGAAAAATAGTCGTAGCGATATTAAGGGGGTTTTTGTTTTTGGTGTTATTTATGGACGATCCGCACTTTTTTCGTTAGAAAATGTCATTATAAGTGTTCCTCTTCTCGATTCTGTATAGAAAATTTTAAAATTTTGACGTACCTAAAGTCTACCGGACCCTTTAATTTTATTAGTAATGAGATAACTCGAGCAAAAATTCTAATTTATACGACGTTATCCGTTGAGTATCTGAGAGGCAAGATTTTACGACCTACATCGATAATGCTTTAAACTGAACTAAATCTACTTGCCACTTGCCATTATATATATACGAGTTACAATAAGCGACGGGCTAAAAACCGTATTTTTAAATTCGAGCGAAATTTCGCTCGAACGATCGCGATTATCGAAATCACTTGAAACTCGAGTACTCGATTATTGAAATTAATCGGTTTTTCTCATCACTACATTTTATTATAGTTTATCTAAAAGCCATACTTGGTTGGAGATAGAAAAATATCCAAAGTTTTACTGAAAACACTTTTTTTAACAAAATAAACAAAGAAAATTGAGACAAGATGGAAGTTTGACGTTTCATGTATGTATGCGTCTTTCTCTCTCCTATGCAATGAGAAAGGCAAACTGAATTATGTAAATCTAAAAATTTGCAACGTTGTCATGTCTTGTACTTTTCGGTTGATTATGGATTTTTAATAAAATAATTGGTGGGGGGGGATTCGGTTAATATCTAACTATAGGTTCTAGCAATCATCTTAGTGAAACCAAGCTTGATTGCTTAGTTTCACTCTTTTGTTTATTTCTGTTTTTTTAATACGCACTATCAGATGCGCAATAAAATCAATGAATGAAAATCAAACCTGAATCGCGGAAAAGAGACTAAACCGAAGCAATCACAAACTCATTCGTGAACCCGTTAGCGGCTGGACTAGGTATATTCTATGATATAAAAGGGTAGTTATCAGTAAAAAAATCACTCATTTTAGATATGGCAACATAACTTTAAATGTCACTAACACCTGAGCTAACTTGTTCAAATTGTTTACAAATTGGTTTTGCAAATTTTCCTCTAGTACGCATAGAATTGGTTAAAAAAAGTAACAGAAATAGCAAAAACCTTTGAACTTTTATTTGATTTTTTTTTGAAATTTTATTGAATGCCTAACAAAATATGTACGAGAAAACCTTACAAATATAAGGAATTTTGAAAAAATATATTTTGTTACATTTTTGGATTTTTCTGAAAAACGGTGAGACCGCTAAAAAAGGTCAGATTCCTAATTAACCGACCTCAAAATACCGTGTATACATTTTTTTCTTAAAATCGGACGATTTTTCAGTTTTTTCCAATAATTATCAACATTTTTTTGACAACCAGTTTTTAGACCAAAATTTTAAATATTTTTTTTCTCAAAAACGTTTAATATTAACCGCCAAATTGTAAATATTTCTGATCAGAGATTTTATTGTGAAACATTGATGCGCAAAAAGCTCCAGTCTAGATATTTTAATTCACCAAAAATGTCTAATGCAAGCACAGCCAGGGACGCCCTGTGTATCGGGTAAACCTTTCTCAGTTTTATATTTTCTTATGTTTTTCTAATGTTTAAGTAATTATAACAATCCTCTTTACAGATACTACATATATCAATATTTTAGTACGTTTGCCCCCCACCACCACAATTTTGACAATTTAATTTCATTTTAGTACTTAATTTAACAATCGCAGACGCGTATTCATTATTTTCCACGCCCTCCTTATTTTTAGACCGTTGGCACCATAATTTTCCCAATTTTTTTTGGTTCAAACGCTTTACAGACAGGATATATGTATCACGTACATAAATCACATTTCTAAACGTCGATGATCGTCATTTATTTCTTCTTCCTTCTCGCGAGTGTGGTGACGTGGCCATCTGGATCGAGAATCGCTGTTTTTTGTTCGTTACTGAAAGATTCTTTTATTAGTTTTTAGTAATCTCCAGAAGATACGAAGAGTAGCGAGGATTTGTCAATGTGTTGTCGCTAGTCTGAAGAAGAAAACTTAATGAATTTCATGAAAAAATACACCTGGGAATCGACACTACTCTAGAGATATGGTTATTTTATCTCTATATACAGAATGTCAATTTAAAATATTTTTGGGTATGATTTCTAGGAGGAAGAAAATGAATGGTTTTTGACCTACCTAACCTTTATAGAAATTGTACTTAAGTATTTTGCATAAAAAACACCCTGTATATGCTTGAGTAATGTTGGTTCTCTTTCATATATACCCCCCTCCCATCTTCTGTAAAAAAACTTTTAAAACTGAATGTTATTTGTTATAAATATTTATATCTGTGAATCTGTGGTCGAGTCGTAGAAATCTACCAAAAACTTATTATAAATTAATTAAAGAAAAAAAAACAATAAAATAAACACGCAACATACAACATTATACACAAATCTTTTTTATATATGTATATTATTTTTATTGTAAAATTGCTCTTGTCTTTTTTTCTCTGTATTTCAAAATACTGACTACTTAAAAAATAAAAGGAAATTTATTCAAATTCGATGTCAATGTATGTTGTTTATTATGGGAACCTTGGGCCATGTAACGCATAGACACGTCCTTTTAGCAACAAGTTTCGACGCGAAGTCACATAGAGGCAAAAGAATTATTGTATTTTTTACTAATCTAAATCTAGATTGTGTTATAGTCTTTTCATTGTACATATCGTTTTGAAGTTACATACTCATAGGAGGTCATATTATGGAGTAAAATAGGCCTTGAATTAAACTATCTAAGGGACATGTCTCGTTATGGTCTAAGAATGGGATTGACGGGGTGCAATTTCAACCCTTTCCGAATTTTTAGTGTTTTTTATATCAAAACGCGCAGATGTTTTCCCTTTCCTTTTTCAACCCCGTCGTCCCCTCTCCTGTACAGACACTCCATGGTCGACAGATTACTTTGTATCAACATGACTTTTTTCGATAAAAACCAGAAAAAAACTGCACGCCATTAGTAAACGGGTCAGTTTTTATAGAAACAACGATCGGTAGAAAATGTAGTATATTATTTTGGGATATTTTCGCTGAAGCGCAAATGAATTGTGATGAATCAAATGAACTACTCAAGATACATACCAGTCTATTTTCAATATCAAAAAAATCATTGAGTTACTATTATATAAATTTAATAATCGTTTTTTATTTGAGAAAGTTTGTTTCTATAAAAGCTTAAATCCTTTCAGTGACGATGTCGAATTATTCTTTGAAAATCTTTTTTGTGTATAGATATATAATTGAGAGAAAAAACATAGTTATGTAGCGATGTTGATAAAATAGAAAATCTGTCCTTTTCTGGCTGTAGACGACCTACAGGGTCGAAAAAATGCACAACTGCAAATTTAAGCAATTTTGCGTAGGATGCGAAAGAAATCAAGAATGTTTGAACGATTCTCTGTATAGAATGAATGAGTCTTTCGACGTGAACAGGTTTTCGAAGCTAAAAAATCGCTGTTCACCTCGTAGAAATACAAATAGTCGTGAATCTGAATCTAAACAGTATTTTTTTCGATGTTTTCTTTTTCTATGATTTCTCCGTTTTATGTTTTTGCCAATGTCGTGTAACTGTGAACGTTGTAATGGGATGGTTGTAGACAAAAAAAACTGTGTACGTTTGGAAAAATCAACTGCCTGTAATGAGTCGTGTATTTATAAATATATAAATAAATGAATGAATATAAAATTATTTAAAATATGTAACTAAACTGTAATAAATATCTTATTTAAGAACTCGCCTACTCTGGTTTTTATTTATATTAACACCTTGGAAAGAAAAACTAAGGGTTCATTTTATAAAAAAACTTTTATTTTATTAGTTTTATCACAAAAATATCTACAACGGTACAACCAATGCCATACCTAAACATACTCACTTTTTTCTAATAAACTCATTTCATAATTCTTAGTAGTAACTAGCACATATGAACATTGCACTTTTGAAAACTTAAAAAAGAAATACCATCTATATTCAGTCTCAATCTTAACCCCTATTGTTTCATCTTTGCAAGAATCCATTACTATCATCCAAAATCAATCCTATTCACTCACAATTTCTGATTTAACAGATTCTTAACGCTCCTCCAATACATAAAACACCGACGCAGCAGGAAAACCAAAAATATAGATCCTTTGTACCATTCTCAAATATAAGGAAATCCATTTACTTCTTAAGTGGGGCACCGCTCGGGGGCGCCGGCCTGGGTATGGTTCTTACGGGACCCAAAGAGAGCATCTGGGTGGCACCTAGGGCGGCCACGTTGCCAGGTTGTTTGGTGTTAATGATGGGCAAGGCGTAGGTACCGTCTGGCGCTGCACTGGGCATCGGAATGTAGCTGTTGATGCCCAGTTGAGAAAGTTTTTGCATTATACCAGGCTAAAATAAGGAAAAAACTTTAATGTACCTATATGATTTGAAGTAAAACTTGGCAGAAAACTATTGGTGGTAAAACATTTCGCTATAATTGCATACAAAAAACATCAAGGAGCATTTCAACAAAATTAACCACTTAAATTCCGATTTATTAGTAACTTTATAATTTTTTTAAAAACGTTTAAAACGTTTTAAAATATATATTAGGGTAGATTAAATAATTTGCTGGTTCTGTTTTGGGTTGTCACTAAAAGTTTTAGTTAATATTGTTAAAAAATATAACGTATATTATAATATAAATAAGTTCATATAATTATTTAATACTAAAATACACATACGTTACTGATACCATTAAAGTTAAATTGACGTATCCTAATAATTTTTTACAAGTAAATAAATGCGAAAATACAAGTATAAAAACAACTAGTTAACTGAAATAAATTTCATTGATTCGTTTTTAATTTTTAATATTCCCACATAATCTTTGCCCACCTCTAGGTACTACAGAAATTAAGGTGTCCTAAAAAAAATTACCACGCTTCTCACCTGTTTGAGATTTATTAAGGGTACGCCGAGCTCGCACATGCCCCCTGCCGTTTTATGGTAAGTTTGTCTGTGTTTATTCAGACCAACGGCGTTAGGGTATTGTGCCGGACAGAGATCACAACGATAGGGCAAACCCTTTTTCGTGGGTGAAGGTTTGGGAGGTGCCGAATCGTCTGTCAAGTCTACCGTAGGAAGATCTTCAGACTGTGGAGACTGCAAACAATAAAAATATTCTAAATATCGTGAACATACAGTACAGATTATAAGGCCATACCTTAGATGCTCCGTTATTTTTAGGCGAAGCTACTATACTGACAGCCCCGTTGAGACTCAGCGCCGTAGGAAGTGCCGGCGTCTTAGTGGGGCTGTCCTTCTCTTTGGGCTTTGCGCTGGCGGTAACCGTGATGCCCCTCGTCGCTAAAATGTTAGCCACTGCTTTGGCGTCCGATTTCTGCGGACTGGCCACTGGTTTAGGGGGTGGGTTTCGAACTGACAAAGTAATAGAGTCTGACAGGTGCATGATGCTGTTCTCGGCCGATTCTGGTCCACCCTGTAAAAAAGTTCAACTCTTGAAATATATACAGGGTGTTTGTTAAGTAACTAATAGATAGATCTTTAAGATCGCAGTGATTAACCCCCCCCCCCTCTTAATCATTCTACATTCAAAATAACTAATTATTTCAACCCCAAAAATAGACCTATAATAATAAATTAAGTACTTACGTGTACGCTCTCAATTTGAGGCAAACCACCATCAGTATTCTTCGGCTGCATACAGATCACCTGACAATCATCATCGTCTTTATCCGAAGGAGACAACACGTCTAACTTCTTCCTCTTCACAATTGAGCTATTTTGATCGGGATTCCTCTTCACCGGCGAACTTTGGGGCCTTATTCCGTTCTGAGGGGCCCCCATTCTAGGCCTAACGCCTCCTCTCATCGGCTGTCCTGTAAAATAGAGCGAAAAATTACTTTAAACCCGCCAAAAAACCTGCGAAACGTCTTACCTCCCCCTCTGGGCCTCATCATCGGCGCTCTAGGCCTGGCCATGGGGGCTCTCTGACCCATGGGACCTCTGGGGCCTCCAGGCATTCTAGGACCTCCGCCCGGAGCCCCCCTAGGCGGCAGAGGTTTGGGCTGGTTCATGTTGTTTGGTCTGTAACCTCCCTGCATTGGACTGGGCGGTTGAGGCATTTGATTCGGAGGCATATGTTGACCCGGAGTTGAAGGAGCCTAGAAAAAAGATTATAATTAGATAAATATAAAAAATATATATATATTTTTTTAAATTACAAAGTCATCTGAATCAGAATAATCCTCGTGAGTTTGGATTTTAACCTCATTGAAAGCTTCAGGATCATACTCAAAACGTATTGAGTTAATTTTCTCAATCAATTCCTCAGATGAGATGAAATCAAGGTCTGGAAATATATTAGACCAAGGAACTTGAAGTAATTGACTTTCATCAAAGGCATTCACGAAATCGTCACTTTCCCTGAGTTCACTCTCCTCAAAATCACTATTGTAGTCTTTAATGGAATTTAAAACACTAGGATCGAAAAGAAAGTCGGTACTCTCGTCCACTGACTCTTCACAAGTATCATTATTGACTGGATTTAGTCTCAGTGACTTCCTTCTACTTGAACTCGGTGTTTCTAAACCTTCATTGCCCACAACAATCTCTATACTATTCTCATTAAGTGGTATGCAGTTAAAAGTAATGCTATCATCAAATTTACTTTTTTTTACTGATATTTTTGAGTACTTCTTCCTTTTGCGAGAGTTAACAGTATTTTGATTATCACTACAGTCAGAGTCAAGAAACACTGTTGTGGGGCTTGCATTTTTACAAGGTGTCTTATTGACCAAGCCCACATACCTAAAAATGTCATTGTTAATATCATCACTGCTTTTCTCTGCCCCATCACTGATTATTGCACCTTTAGCTCTTTCTAGTGCACCATTTTTTACAGGTTCAAATGAACTACTACATTTATTATATTTTCTCTTCTTGAAATACTGTATACGATCCTTGTTTCTTAATTTTCTGGATATAGTATTTACAATTCTCACAATATTATTAACTTTAGTTAATTGATTATCATCACCTAACGTTTTACTGGTTTTATTCTTAATTTTTTCCATCATATTAACTTTTTCGTCAGAATTAGATGTTTTTTTATAGCATCTTTTTTCTTTGAAATACTGAACCCGATCTTTGTTCCTACGGCTTCTCGAGAAATTATTTACAAATTCAGCAATTCTGTCAATATTAGATGGGGTCATATTTTTAGAAAGGGCTTCTGATTCTGTGATAACAGGGTTTTCAAATTTTTTACCTCTTTTTACTTTTCCTTTATTTTTTAGGTATTTTATAACATCGCGTTTCCTTAAAATTCTTGCTTCTGTCTTTTTTTCTGAGAACTTTTTATGACATACTTCTGAATCTTCTCTCAGTAATTTATTTGACTTTGTTTCATTAATGTTATCTGTACATATACCAACAAATACCTTTTGATTCAGTTCAGGCGAGATCTTTTTGTCTTTTGAAATTTCATTATATACACATGACTCTATTATTGACTCTTTAACATCACTACAAGAGTTTATTAGTTGACGTTTTATCTTATGTGTATCAGATTTCAGCATTTTAACATCTTTTGTCCTTCTAGACTTTAATGATTTAGGACATATATTAGACTTATTAATATTTGTATTGTTAAATTTACCATTAGGCATATCAAAACTTGTCTCCAATTGTATCTTTTCCTTTGAAAAATTCTCATTACAAATATTATTATCAGTTTCAGTTTTTTTAGTGGCAGAGTTATTTAAGTACTTTTTCCTTCTTTTATTAGGGTTAACAGTGTTTTGTGTGTCAGAATCTTCAAGAAACACTGCTGCAGAGTTCTCTGTATTTTTAGTGGTTTTATTGATTAACCCCACATACCTTAAAATGTCATTATCAATTGTACCATTGCTTTTTTTAACACTCTCAGTGATTATGGCACCATTATTTAAAGAACTGTTAATTTTGTTATTTCTGGTTTTAAAATACTGTACACGATTCTTAGTTCTTAATTTCGGTGTATGTAAAATCCTCACAATATTATGCATTTTAGTTACTTGATTATCATCATTCTTCATTGCCTTGCCCCTATTAATTCTGTTAGAATTTGGCATCTTTCTAAAATTTCTTGTCTCCTTGAAATACTGTACTTTCTTCCTTTTTGATTTAAAAGTATTAGAGCTTAAACTAGAATCAATAATGATATTATTGTTGTTTAACTTGCCATTAAGCATATTACAACTTGGCACAAACTGTATTTTTTCATTTGTCATATTATAAACACAAACATTTTTATCTGTTTCAACTTTTTCTGTTGCACAATTATTACTTCCAGATTCATTAGTGAATTTAAAAGGTTCTGTATCAGATTTTATGGTACTAATATCTTGATTATTCTCTATTTGTACTAACATACCATCGTTTTTAACATCCTCCTCAAAACTTTCTTGAAACCTTTGTTTTCTACCTTTATTAATTTGATTCGTTAACTTTCCTTTTGATATAAAAATATTTTCACTTGTTTTCACTGTAGAATGCTTATTTTTTTTGTGTTTTTCTTTTAAAAGCAAATTCGATTTGATATTTACATTTTTGTTGATCTTCGAGATCTGCACAGTCAAATTTTTCCTTTTATAATTGACTTTTTCTTGTTCTGTACGATTAGTTACCATACTTTTTTGCGCAAGAATATCCGCGAATTTCGAATGTTTACGTTGCCCATTTACTAAAATAAGGCCTATTTCTTTAGCAAAACACTCTAACCATGTCGACGTCAAGTTAACCTTAAATTTCCACTTTTCCCGCAATTTTGCCATCATAAAGATAAATTCTTTCTTGTAAAGTCGCTTTTGCTGCATCTTTTTACATAATTTAGATAGTTCGGATTCCAATACGAGCCTTTCGGCATGTAAAAATCGTTTTTTCTGCCCATCTTCCTTGTAATATTTCTTTACAACGGCCGATTTGTTTTGAATGATCTGACGCACCACGTCGATCGGTATGTTGAACTTTTCGGATATTTCTGCGGATCTGGCACGCGTCCTGGCATAATAATTGATAATTTCGACTTTTTCCAATAAATCAGGGTTTTTTAAAGCACCCATTTTGGGGGTTAAAATTTAAAATACACACACATAAACGCCGCAAGTTTCGTTTCACTCTAACAAACCCACGCCACCATCAGACGACAAGGACAAGAATAAATGACGCCAAATGACGCTTAGCTTAGCTCAACAGCTCAACCTGTTGCGCAGGTTGCCGGTTCCTCAGTTTTCGATGAGCAGGTAGAGAAGTATTTCCTAGACCGGTTGCCGATTACTTTTCTTTCTTTTTATAACCCAATACCCAATGTGTGTATTTTAATCTATTCGGTCGCAAGCTGAAATAAAAACCGATTATGGTGTAAGTTACACGGTTTCTTATGGTCTTTCGACTTTTAACAGAGGGGTATTATTCTTCGAAATTGTTTGAAATTGAACACACTTGACATCACCGCGGTACACCTAAAGCCTAGTCCTCATGGAGCGGAATATCCCTTTCTGTTTAAGAAAGTAAAATTGGCCGGTTCACATGAAGCGGGATTCCGGATGCGGATTTTTCTTTGAATAAGAAGACTAAGGAAGGAGCATAATGCTATCCATGTATTCATGTATGGTGGGCGGAAAAAGCTCTCTAGGGTGGGGATCCTTGACAGTTCTGTTTGACGATTCATTTAACACATTTGAATTTGATTTGAAATTTTGTGGATTTGTCAGTCTTTACGGAGCTTATTTTATGTTATTTATCATTTATTCTACTACTGATAGTTGTATAAAGGTAGTAAATCTAGATGGAAATTGTGGCAGAACTTAAATTAACAGTGACACTATCGCGATTTATCGAAAAAGACTCTAAAATAGTTGGTTGTGTAGCGTGCGGTAGATCTCGGCAAAAATTGAGTGAAATAATGGAACAACTTTTCGCTAGTAAGTGACTATATAATATACATACGTGTAGTAAACCGATCATTTATGAAATTCACTTAAATTAACTAAATTATATCTTTTTCTTGCATTTTAGCTTTTATTTAATACTTGTCAAAGATGAGATGTCAAAGAATTTAGATACGTTAATTTGACTTACCTACTTCAATAGCGTATCGGACGTTTGTGTTAATAAATACTTATTATAACTTATCTATTTTTATTAGAATTATATATTTTTATAACAATTTTAATAACTACCAACATTTATTCACAACGTAAAATAAAACAACAAATTATTGAGTCTACCCCACGTCTACCCTACATCATAGTTTTACATTTTTTAAATAAAATTAGAACGACACTGATAAACCGAAATTTAAGTCGGCCATATTTGAGACCCATCGCGGTGTACCTCAAGAACAGTTAACCTAATAGGACTGCTCATTCAGCCAAAAGTGTCCGCCAGGTGCATGCGAAAACTACTCGCTTTGTGACGTCATTGTAGCCCTTGTCATAGTTATTAGTCCTTATCCGGCAACCAATAATACACACACGTGCATTATTGGTTACCGAATGCAAAACGTTCATTATTTAGTTTATTTATTTAAACACCTTATATGTATGCAGTAAAGAAAATTAACTGTATAAATCGTATTAAATACTCGGATAATGCATTTTTAAGAACAGCAGGTCCCAGGCATCACCTTTTGCAAGCATTCTTTTTAGAGTACTTAGTATGCACTTTGTCACAATCCACAACACAAAATGGACGTATTTATACACTCTATAGCTCTAAAAACTTTAAAGACACCTTTTTCACATTTAAAATTGACAAAATAATTAACTCAAAATTTCTCAGCTGTTATTTTTATAAGTTTACCATAGGCAACTAATAAGACACATTATCATGACAAGGTCACGAAGGCTTTGACAAGGGCTACAATGACGTCACAACTGTCAGCTGGGGACGCCAAGCGCGGGAAGAGGCGAACGTACGTCTTATGAGGATGAGCAATCCTATTAGTTTACCGTTCTTGGGTATACCTAAGATTTTTAATATGCTCCTTCCTTAGTCTTCTTATTCAAAGGGATTTTTAGATAAATTTAGGGTATTTCAGATTATTTTCTAGTGATTTTTTTTTAATGTCAGAACTTGAAAGGTACAAGTGTGTTTTTTTAAGTAGATAAACAATAAACAAAAATATTTGTAACTGTAATTGTATAATATTGCTAACAATAATTATAGCTATTATCAATGGAGAAGGCAGGACATAGTTGGATTAATATTAATTTATGAATGGCATAAAAACAAAAGGTCTTTACAAAAACATAGAATAAAAAAAGAAGAATGTGGGTCAGAGATATTTTCTTAAAAAGGTCTGAGCAAGCAATCCCAACTCCAAAATTAAAATTCAAACTACCAAATCATAGACTATGACCAAAACAATCAAAACCAAAACAAACAAGAAACAAACAGCTTCCCTCCCAATTTGAGGTTAGGTTAAAAATTAAACGAAGAAAGAACATGTTTAGACAAAGATAGACTATAAAAACTCGCTAAAAAGTTAAAAATAGTTTAACTTTTTGCGGATCCGCCAAAAGTTAAAATTTTCCCGCAGCGGGACAATTTTAAAAAATCCGCGCTCGCAACGCGATTTTCCGCCCCATGAGAACTAGGCTTAACAATTTTGAACAGTTTTGAATTTGCCGTTAATGTTTTTAAAACCCGCGTTTTTAAACTCATTTAGAATTTTTTTTACGTAGCGCAATTTTATATTAATAAAATAACGTACGACAAAATAACAAATAACATTTATATTGTTTCAAAAGAATAATAAAAATAAATTTTAAATCACAAATTTTGTGAATGCGAAATACGAAATATTTTACATCGTTGCCATATTTTAAAATTTTAAGCCAATTTTACATGCTTCCGAATTTCGTAAAACAAAAAACAACTAATTAACACCATATTAACACTAATTAATTTCGGACGTTTTAATCGGACAACTACCTACATAATATTTACCAAGAAATTAGTAAAAAATATTTGAATGTTATGAAAACGCTAAATAAAAACGTCTCTCTCAAACCTTTGAATAAGAAGACTAAGGAAGGAGCATATCAAAATATCAAAAATCTTAGGTACACCGCGATGGGCCTCAAATATGGCCGACTTAAATTCCGGTTTATCAGTGTCGTTCTAATTTTATTTAAAAAATGTAAAACTATGATGTAGGGTAGACGTGGGGTAGACTCAATAATTTGTTGTTTTATTTTACGTTGTGAATAAATGTTGGTAGTTATTAAAATTGTTATAAAAATATATAATTCTATTTAAAATAGATAAGTTATAATAAGTATTTATTACCACAAACATCCAATACGCTGCTGAAGCAGGTAAGTCAAATTAACGTATCTAAATTCTTTGACATCTAATCTTTGACAAGTAATAAATAAAAGCTAAAATGCAAGAAAAATATATAATTTAGTTAATTTAAGTGAATTTCATAAATTATCGGTTTACTACACGTATGTATATTCTTTAGTCACTTACTAGCGAAAAGTTGTTCCATTATTTCACTCAATTTTTGCCGAGATCTACCGCACGCTACACAACCAACTATTTTAGAGTCTTTTTCGATAAATCGCGATAGTGTCACTGTTAATTTAAGTGCTGCCACAATTTCCATCTAGATTTACTACCTTTATACAACTATCAGTAGTAGAATAAATAATAAATAACATAAAATAAGCTCCGTAAAGACTGACAAATCCACAAAATTTCAAATCAAATTCAAATGTGTCAAATGAATCGTCAAACAGAACTGTCAAGGATCCCCACCCTAGAGTGCTCTTATGGCGCTTTTTCCGCCCACCATGCATGAATACATGGATAGCATTATACTCCTTCCTCAGGGTGCAGCCACACTATCCTAAAAACGGCGTATCGGCGTAACGGCGTAACGGCGTAATGACCTTGAATAGATTTCCAGTAATTCTATTGGCTGAGGGTGCAGCCACACTATCCTAAAAACGGCGTATCGGCGTAACGGCGTAATGACCTTGAATAGATTTCCAGTAATTCTATTGGCTAAAACATTCATCTGTCAGAAATTTTATCTGTCAAATTCATCTGTCAAAAATTTCAGCCAATAGAATTACTGGAAATCGATTCAAGGTCGTTACGCCGTTACGCCGATACGCCGTTTTTAGGATAGTGTGGCTGCACCCTGAAACATTCATCTGTCAGAAATTTTATCTGTCAAATTCATCTGTCAAAAATTTCAGCCAATAGAATTACTGGAAATCGATTCAAGGTCGTTACGCCGTTACGCCGATACGCCGTTACGCCGATACGCCGTTTTTAGGATAGTGTGGCTGCACCCTCAAAGTCTCAAACGTATTTTTTTCGCAGTAAGTCCAGAGATATAGAGACGGGGAACGGGGAATTGTCTTTGGTAGGGAGTATGGAGTGTAGAGATGACGAGAAATATCTCTTATGGGACTTTTATTGAAAAAGTGATGGAAAGTGACAAAATGAGAAGAATAAGGGTTCACCAAATGACTACAGTGGCGCTAATAACGTATATTTCTAAAAAATAAAAAGTAACCATAGATAAGAGAATAAAAATAACCTAACCAAACATTACCCAAAAAAAGCTTTGTTTTAATTTTTTAGCATATGAAACAAATATTTTTATATATTAGAGGCCCAGTCTATTGCTGCTGAATAAAAATCTATAATTTATTTCACGTGACATGACAAGAAAATTGTATTTTTTTGAAACCCGTGCCTTCACGTCGAATATTTATGTCTTTTGAATCATTTCCTGTTCTAAAAATTTTCGGGGCATATTTTAAATTTTAGTTTTTTGCTACAGCAGCGCCATCTTAAGTTTTCCTTTTTTTTGACCCCCATTTTTTAATGCACGAAGATATTTCTCCTTACCTCTACACTCCATAGTAGGGAGAAAGAGCTGGGTACCTATTCTTGACATCGTTCGCAACTTTGCGTATACGCATCACGTGTATTGTTATATGGCTTTTTCGGAGATGCGAGCGATATTGGAAGATGCGAGTGGTCAAGAATAGGTACCCTGGGCGCATTCAGGGTGCATCCACACTATCCTAAAAACGGCGTATCGGCGTAACGGCGTAACGACCTTGAATCGATTTCCAGTAATTCTATTGGCTGAAATTTTTGACAGATAAATTTAACAGATAAAATTTCTGACAGATGAATTTTTCCGCCAATAGAATTACTGGAAATCTATTCAAGGTCGTTACGCCGTTACGCCGATACGCCGTTTTTAGGATAGTGTGAATGCACCGATGCACCCTCCGGGAACACAGAAGCTAACTTCTAGCTATGGAGTGTCGAGGTAAGGAGAAATATCTTTGTGCATTATAAAAAGGGAAGACTTAAGATGTCGCTACTGTAGCTAAAACCTAAAATTTAAAATATGCGCCACAAATTTTTAGAACAGGAAATGATTCAAAAGAGATAAATATTTAACGTAAACAAGAACAACCGCAAACAAAAACAGAAAGAATTTTCTCTTGTCAAATCAGAACCTTATATTATTATTAACAGAAAAATTATAAAAATTTTCAAAATCTAAACCGCTCTCATTGAAAAAATTCCAAAAAGTGTTTAAAGCGTCC